CGACTACACTGCAAAGGTTAGCCAAAAATGCTTGAATTACAGTATGCAGAGGTGGGACAAAGTCATTGTTTAGCAAGTCACAAGTCAGTCTCAATTCATTGCCCTCAAGTCCCGAGTCAAGTCACGAGTCAAGACAGGCAAGTCCCGAGTCGAGTCCAAGTCAAAGGCCAACAAATCTCAAGTCAGTCCCAAGTCCTACGGTTTGACTTTCGAGTCCTCTCGAGTCTTTTTGACCGCGATTTGTTTCTTGTTGGTCTCCACGTACTTTTGTAGGCAAACAAAATAATGTTAGGAATCATTTTGCTGGTGCATTCTCGTTGGTCTCTGACCCATGGACTAACAGTTTGTTCCATGTCGTTGGCTGCTGGTAAATCAAAACTATCTACGGGATCTAATTGGATGTTGTGCCAGATGCAGGCTCAGTTACACATGCACAGACCACACATAAAATCAGAGCAGTCCGTGTCAACATACTTTTTATCTTTGGGGTTTTTAATGGGAAGTAGCAAGTGCAGCATATATGAATATGAGTATTGGGCTAGGACCTGTATCTATATAATCAGTTTAATGTCCGTAGTGGTTATTGTTCCAAATGTCCTACTGTAGAATAGGGGTAGTATGAGGGGTCTAGGCTTTGGACCTGGGGCAGCTGGCCATCAACTGGACCAGCATTAGCAATATCTCATAATTACCAATATATCATTACATAATAAAATGTCTCATATAAATTAATTCAATCAGTCAAAGCACTGATTCTCATATCAATGCACCATAAACAATAGTGCAAATATTAATCTAGCTTAGTGCACAAAATCAAAACAACTATCTAATGTATGCAAACTTTAGCAGGAGGAGCACAGCAAAAACATACTCATAATAATAGGCCTCGGCGCCCACACAGAAAAATATAAGAAAGAGCCAACAGAGCAGCGCAGGCTAGCGCTAGTTTGACTCACCAGTTCCTCTTTAAAACACGGCACAGAGTGTGACAACTGCGTCGATTCAATTGTATGAGGCGCCTGTAGTGAAAGCATATCAATTACGGTTTGTAGAACAAAGTATGACGTTAGGTCGCGATAAATACCTGCAGCTCGCTCATTTCCAGCTCCCCTACGACAACACACCCACCGGTGAATGCAGTCCGCTTGTTTAGGGAAGTGTTGCTGCGCGAACTGCGGGGAACTCACGTTCGAACTCTCTCGCGAGCGCTACAACTACCGCGAGGCTTTGTTTCTTCAGAGACGGCATAGATAGAAAGAGAGATGCGGAGAAAGGTAAAAATGGCCCGGGTTACGCAAGTCTTTACAAGTCAATTGGCGCAAGTCCAAGTGAAAGTCAGAGTCATTGATGTTAAAGTCCAAGTCGAGTTGCAAGTCTTTTTATATTTGGTCAAGTCGAGTCTAAAGTCATCAAAATCATGACTCGAGTCTGACTCGAGTCCAAGTCACATGACTCGAGTCCACACCTCTGACAGTATGTTCCCCTTTTTTGGATTTTTGCACAATTTTAACCAATACCTCCACTACTTTTACAACAACTTATACTGTTTCCAATGCTACTGCCTCTACTACTACTCCTGCTGCTGCTACTATTACTACTACTACTATTTTTGGAACTGCTTCTAGTACCGGGGCGGCACGGTGGCTGAGTGGATAGCACTCTTGCCGCTCAGCAAGAAGGTCCTGGGTTCGAATCCCGGCCGGACCAGGGCCTTTCTGAGTGGAGTTTGCATGTTCTCCCCGTGTCTGCGTAGGTTTCCTCCGGGTACTCCGGTTTCCCCTACCACTAAAAATATGTACAATAGTTCTGGCATGCGCCTCCTGTTCGGCGACCCTGCTCCCATCTCTGTGTGGAGTGAGAGACAAATGCCCAAAAAATAACAATTGTAAACCGCTTTGTGACTCTGGTCTGTGAAAGGCGGTATATAAATAAAGCTTACTTACTACTACTTACTACTACTACTTACTTACTACTGCTTTTACTACTTCTGCTACTGCTACAACTTACTTCCACTACTGTTAAAATTGCTATTATAATTACGTTGCTACTACCACCTCTGTACCACTAATCGCATTATACGTAACCACTACTTCTACTGTGACTTCTATACTGCTACTACTACTGCTACTGCTACTACTACTACTGATATTGATACTGCTTCTACTACTACTGCTACTGTCAGGAATGAAGCAGACAGAGACGGATCGTGGTGCGCCGAACTCTGGAAGTTTATTTAAGTTTCTCTCAAGTTCCAGTGGTTTCCATTGTTTCTTTCTCTCAGACAGAATAAAGGCAGTACACAGTTTATATAGTCATTGTCACGTCACACATCGAAAGACGTGTCACACAGAGACAGTCATGAGTATCAAAGTCAAAACATGGAGTCCATCAGAGTCAAATCGCTATCTATCCTAACACTACTGCTACTGCTACTGCTACTACTACTGCTACTGCTAATGCTACTACTAATGCTACTGCTTATGCTACTGCTAATGCTACTACTACTGCTACTGCTAATGCTACTACTACTGCTACTACTGCTACTGCTGCTCCTACTACTACTACTACTGCTACTACTACTGCTACTGCGACTGCTGCTCCTACTACTACTACAACTTCTACTACTACTGCTACTACTACTTCTACTGCTACTGCTACTGCTAATGCTACTACTGTTGCTACTGGTACTACTACTGCTACTGCTGCTCCTACTACTACTACTATTTCTACTACTACTGCTACTGCTGCTCCTACTACTACTACTACTTCTACTACTACTGATGCTCCTAATACTACTACTGCTACTACTACTGCTACTGCTACTGCTGCTCCTATGACTACTACAACTTCTACTACTACTGCTACTACTACTTCTACTACTACTGCTATTGCTACTACTAATGCTACTACTGTTGCTACTGGTACTACTACTGCTACTGCAGCTCCTACTACTACTATTTCTACTACTACTGCTACTGCTGCTCCTACTACTACTACTACTTCTACTACTACTGCTACTGCTACTAATATTCTACTACTACTCTTACAACTGCAACTGCTACTACTAATTCTGCTGCTGCTTTTACAACAACTCAAAATATTGCTTGTATTACTGTGTGACTTCTATACAGCTACTACTACTACTACTACTACTTACCACCTTTCTAGTTGTTCTTCCCTCAGTCATAATCTCAAATAAAAATATGTTGTGTCTTGTTTGCGGTTCGTCTCTTGTTTGCTCCGGGATTAAGCGTCTCCTTTTACACCATTCTCACACTTTGTAGATTCGAACACAACCGGAGCGTCTAACTTTACTTTGACCAAACCAAGACACGAAACACAAACCGGCTGACCTTCTCAAACTGCGAAAACTGCCGCTCTCTCATTTGAGCCGCTCCTGACAACACTCCCAGGTCTGAAAAATGAGAGCCACGTCCTGATACCATCTGATTTCTGTGAATCTGGGTAGTACACTAAACTATCTGTGAGGAAAGAATGGAGGATTGTGGGGAAAATAATAACACGGGGAAATACATTGGATTTTTCACAGCTTTTGACCGTATTGTAGTTGTTTTTCAGTGTCTATTTAGAGATTTTATACTAGCTTCTTTATTATGCTAAAGCTAGAGATGTTATACTTGTTTTTTTTAATTATCCTAAAGCTAGAGATGTTATACTTGCTTCTTTAGTATGCTAAAGTTAGAGATTTTATTTTATTTTAGTATAGTTATTGTTTATTTATCTTGTAAGTAAGTAAGTGGGTAATCTTTATTTATATAGCGCCTTTCACAGACCAGAGTCACAAAGCGGTTTACATTTGTGGGCATTTGTCTCTCACTCCTCACAGAGATGGGAGTGAGCTCGTCAGTACAGGAGGCGCATGCCAGACCTATCGTACATGTTTTTAATGGTAGGGGAAACTGGAGCACCCGGAAGTAACCTACGCAGACACGAGGAGAACATGCAAAATCCACTCAGAAAGGCCCTGTTCCGACCGGGATTCAAACCCGGACCCTTCTTGCTGAAAAGTGAGAGTGCTAACCACTCAGCCACCGTGTTGTGTGCTCTTCATTCCTACTGCTCTTTCTTATTTCCCAACTGTGTGACGAATAAAGGATCTCTTAATATTTTACATAAACACACACACGTACACACACACACATTCACACACACACACACATTCACACACACACACACACGTTCACACACACACACGTTCACACACATACACGTTCACACACATACACAGTGTGATTCAGGCATGTACAACACCACAAAACCACTTTTCGTCTTCTTTGAAAGTACAACATATTATGAAGTTTTTACATAGTGTGTGCCTTTTGCTGCCTCTGGTCCAGGACTCCCTTGAAACAGAGGGTCTTAATCTGGATGGAACTTTCCTGGTTAAAATAGGTTGAAGAAAATAAATAGTCAGACTGTCGGAATAGTCAAATTATAACAGGATCAAACAAAAATGTTTCCAATTGTCTCTCGACTCCAGTTCGAACAATGTCTCTCCCTGGACACACACACTGAAAATTTAAAAAAATGTTGATTTGTGATTAGTAAAAGTAGGCATTTATGTTGCATGTCTATATAATTTCACATATAATCTTTCATATTCTCCACGTTATTTAAATGTTTTGTTTTTTGGGGGGGGGATTTTGCAATTCTTGTCCAAAAGGGACCAATGAGAAAATGGCCTTTTGAAGTTTTTTCAAGTTCGGACTCATTAGATACTGTGGCGTTATCCTTTCTGTGAACTATCCTTGCCTTGTGGCGTCTATTATACCCTTCAAACAATCAATGGGCGGTGAATTGATTCATTCATATCATGTTTATTTACTCGATAGCTTTCTCAAGGCCTGTAGCAAAGTTGAAGGAAAAACGCACATATATCTGTATCATGCCAAACGCCTGTAGATAACACTTTGACACGTCTCCGTTTCCTTTGCGATACACCGTTTGAGTGGATTTGTTTGGATCTGTTTCCCCGACAGGTTTTCTCCAGGTGTGGCCAACGATCCATCGCCCTCGGCTGCCACCGCGAAGAGACGCACCCAGTCCCTCAGCGCTTTGCCCAATCAAGGAGACAGGAAGGTCAGACTGGACTAAATGTGCCTTTATAGCAAAAATCATCTGTTCTCATCAAAAACATACACAGTTTTTCTGTTAGGTACCCCAGCTTTAAGAAACGGCTATAAACATGCTGTAACTATTAGGGTTTAATCCCGGGACACGGGATTCCCGGGAAATCTGATCAAAACAATTTCTAGATTCCCGGGAAATGTTATGACGGGAAACGGGAGATGAAAGTTTTTTTAAAATCCAGTGCGCTCCTTTTATAGTGCCTCCTTTGTTGTTCAAAGTTCAAACATATTTCATTTACAATCAACATGTCTACAGTTGAGAGGATGGCTCATAAATTGTGTTTTTGACAACAAATATGGGTCTTAATCGCGCTAAACCACGGCTTGTAATATCACCAAGTGAGGCCAGCCTCAGGGTACGGGGCACATGTGAGCCCAGAATTCGGCTGCATCCAATTCTATCAGAAAGCTCCTTTCTTTTTTTTCCATCTGCTAAGGGCAGCAACAGGTTTGGCTAACATACATATAACACATTTTAAGATAATTTAAAATGCATTTAAGGTAATGTTATGCTTCCAATGACGATATGAAGGACGAGAGGTGAAGGGTAAGGAGGTTGATATTAGAAATTGGATGCGCCCGAGAGCCGGCTGCAGCGAAACACAGGAGTTTAAAGAGAGTTTTGTTTCACTCTTTAAAACTCTTTGGACTTATTTTCAAATGGAGGATTACATATCTGCGCTCAAACTATTATCTGGACTTAAACATGAAACTGGTCTGAACTAAGGTAAGGCCCATAACACACTTGGAAATGTGCTTTTTGGAACATATTCTGCTTAGCCAAACAAATTGTGAATAAGCCGCTCTGTAGGTCTTATGGGATTTATAGGATTTATACGATATATATGTTCATCTGATTGGGCTGAAGTCAGTGCCTCCAAACCTCACCGCACGTCACTGGTCGACAAGTGGATTGCGCAGACATTTAGAATCTCAGCATAGTGAAATTCTTGAAGAAAGCAAAATGTCTGAAAACGCCATCGCTACTTTAGAAAAGCTAGCAAGTCGCTTGGTGAAACACTAGTTGAGACGGCAGCTTTTGATGAATTATATATTTGAGTGATATCATACATTACTTGGGCTAAAAACAACTACTACTAACAACAGCTATTTCCCGGGAAAGGTGTCGTCTTTTCCCAGGATTTGATACATCTCATTTTTGGGAAAAATATGAAACCCTAGTAACTATATACTGTATATGTGTGTGCTTTTGTGTCCTTCTTCTGTATTATTTTTTTGTATTGAGTTTGGGGTGCTCATTCAGCCCAATCCTTTTTGCAGAATATTTCTTTATTCATGTATTTTGACAGGGACATTGCAAGTCAACATAGAACAAGTAAGTTCTGCGTTGTAAGTGATGCGATGCAAAACGAGTTTAAAACTATTGCTAGTTTTCAACTCCAGTCCCTGGTATAATGCTGTTCAAATAAATGAATAAATAAATAATAAAAGTCAAGATAAGAAAACCTTTATTTGTCCCTCAGTGGGGAAATTCTAAACCATTAAATGCCAAGTAAATAGTGTCAAGATTTCACAACTATTGCATGATATTGTTTGTTTTCCCGTGGCCTGCAGAGAGAGAAAGACCACATCCGTCGTCCCATGAATGCGTTCATGATCTTCAGCAAACGTCACCGCGCCCTGGTGCATCAGCGACACCCCAACCAGGACAACCGCACCGTCAGCAAGATCCTGGGGGAGTGGTGGTACGCTCTGGGGCCCAACGAGAAGCAGCAGTACCACGACCTCGCCTTCCAGGTGTTTATGCATCGTTTAGGCTGAGAGAGCTCTAGTTTCATTTACCTTTTATATCATGGTCAGTGAGGATTCCAATGCATTCAATACTGTTTAAGCTGCATGGAAAATGATAGGCTCCATTACAGTTTGCCTGTACCTGTAAAACTCTATGAATATGTCCCCAAATTCTTATATCTGTTTTGTTTTTTGCTGCTGACATACGGGCATCTCACTTCTTGCTGGTGGGGGTGTACCCGGAAAGAGAATTACCCAATGCACACCTAATCTACATTCATTAACATCTGTAAAAAAAATTATATGTTGATATATTACTCTATATGACTCCAAAAATGTTTTAAACTAAAAATGTTTTAAAGTATGGAACTATTTATTTTAAACAGTCTGATTGGGTTTTAACAATTGTATACAGTTTGACAATCTAGCATAAAGTAAAGAACATTGCAGAACATTGAAATGTGCAGATTGAAATATTCCGATGGATATATCTATATGTAATGAAAAACAATAAACAAACAAATAAAACAGAAAGGAACGTTCACACAAGCTACATATAAGGAGAAAATTCATAGAGATTCAAAAAGTCAAAGCGTGGCTCAGTAATTATCCGTTTAACAGTTTGGGTTCCCGCACTAAAGCTGTAGAGGAACGTCGCATTGGTCTCCGAGAGAACCTTCTCCATCATCATATTTGGACTTGTGGTTGTAGATAAAGTGGTTGGCAGATGTAACTGGTTCTGACTTTTCTTACCGTGACCTTTTTCCCCATGTCCAGGTGAAGGAGGCCCACTTCAGAGCTCATCCCGACTGGAAGTGGTGCAACAAAGACCGGAGGAAGTCTCTGTCGGAGGGCCGTGGGACCCCAAAGGAGGCGCGCGAGAGGAGCATGTCCGAAAGCATAGGTACTTTCAAATGTATACTCCTTGCACAATAATAACTTTAGTAATTACCATAGTACTAGAACCAGCCTTTGTATTGTGATAAAGTTAGTTGATGAAACTAATAGTTTCTTATTTTGCGTCCTGTTTTGTCATCTCTCCCACAGACCCACAATCCCCTGGGGCGGAGACAAAGCCATGGTTGGGGGGTGCAGAGCGGCGAGGAGCCTCCGGGGGGCAGCACACTCGTCCGAGAGCGTTTTCTCAGAGCGCTATGCACATACTGGAGCAGAGAGAGAAGGACATCGACAAGGTTAGTGACTTCACAATGTGGGGCACATGATGGTGCTAGATGTCGTGTGCTGTTGTGTTTTCTTTACGGAAAGACACAATATTTGCGTTCAATTTGTTGCTGTATCATCAATCAGTTCAAGTTAGCAACCTGACAGTAGACGGATGTGAAGGCTGCAGCAAACTTCTCTGTCGTAGTCACTTCTCTATGTATCTACGGAGACCTCTAGAGTTGCTTTTATACGTCTCCGTCTTGTGTCGAATTAACCAATTCCCCGCGGCTGATCAAAGCATCTCTTTTGAGCTCCAGGACATGTCCCCTGAACTTTTAGCGCATAAAAAGAAAAAGATAAAAAGGAAATAAAGGATATATCCTTGTCTTGATGTCTCTAATTTCCCCTCTGTGAGACTAATAAAGGCATCATTCAATCCTAATTATAATACACAAAACTTGTGTAGCACTTTTCATGACTTCCAAAGACACTGGCATTAGTCATTCACTACCCAGTGGTGAAAACCTCATGCTGTAGTGTGGAGAGATAAAGATGTTCTCCTGAAGTGCAAGAGCTGTCCACATTTGCACACATTGCCTTAAATGAGGACTTTATATCTGATTATCTGATGACATGATTATTGAGCAGGTTTCCCGTTTGATTCACAAATGTGGTTCTTTTTCGATCTACAGTAACTTTGTTCAGTGTTTCACTGCACGCTGTCATCAAGGAACTGGGATTACTTAAGGAACCTTGAGTTTTGTGCCACAAACTAATCCCAGATACTGATTTCTCTGTTTCTTTATGCATACTTTTGATCAATGGCTACCCCTACTTGTCTAAATCTAAAGTGGCTAAACAAGAGGAAGTGTACTGTATTTTCTTTCGGACTAAATCGGAACAACTAAAATTTCACAGAATATTGCATTTAATGCATTTCCTTCAATGCAGACTTGGAAATCTTCGATGGCGTCTGTTTTAAAGATTTTAAAGTTTTCTAGCATGATTGTTGTGGACTTAAAAGCACCAAGTTTCAAACCGCACAGCAAATATCAAAGCGTAGAAAGACGAAACGAGGCAATGCCGACAGCGTCTAGTGATTTTGAAAAACAAAAGTGCTGGTGTGAAGGCGCTAATCCTCTGTGACTCGGAGCAAAAGCAGCAAACACTGATGTAGTTTTGTACCTTCAAAGCAGCTTAAAGTGAACAGGGAAATGCTTTGAAGATGGAAAAACGCACTTGAGTTTTCTGAGGGCATGCGGAGAGGAAGAAAGACTTGAGCGCTTTGGCAAAAAAAAGTTCGGACTCGTTGGAAGTGCATTTGAGGGAGAGTGGTGCTTGCGCCTCAGAGAGTGTGAAGGTCATCTGTCTGCAGACTGAAGTGGGCCTCGTCTGATGGCTTGGGGCTTTATGGTGAATTTAAGGAGTTGTAGGCATAAGTAAACCACCATCCAAGTTTATCAGAGCTGCAGCCGTTTGGTTTTCTATCAAACTAAGCGTCACTCATTTGCGTCGCTCAATTCAATTCAGTTTGGTTTGGCCCGAAACCGCAACTACAGTCTTTACAAAGTTGTGGGTTCACCAACAACAGTTCGAAAATGGATCATCACTGTCCTTAGACCCTCCTCAGAAACCTTTGTGAGGCCCATATTGAGACAAAGATCCTCTCCCACGGACAGACAGTCGATACTCAGCAGTAACTCTTTACAATCTCCAGCTTGTCCACCTCTAGTTTAAAGAGCCTGGATTTTTTTTCCCCCGCTTTATCCGAGCCCGCGTGGCTTAGGCAGCAGTCTCCTCTCGCCGCGGAGGAGCAACGGCTCTACTCCGAGCTCCTCCTGGTGTGACTGAGCTCTTCCTCCTATCTCTAAAGGAGCGTCCAGCCACTTCACTAAAGGAAGGTCATCTGAAACGCTTCTATCTGCGACCTTGTCCAACACCACCCATTCACTCACTCATTACATTCAGAAAACCGGAGCACCCGGAGGAAACCTACACAGACGCGCCGAGAACATGTGAACTCCACACAGAAAGGCCTGGAGGTAGAATCAAACCCAGGATATTTGCGCGATAACCACTGCGTCACTGTGCCGCCTAAATGAACTTGCTGAATGGACAATTGTCAATAAATGTCAGTTCAGCAAATAAACTTTTTGTTTTGTTGCAGGAGGACGGTCCTGGTCTGTTCCCGAGTCGTGGTCCTTCTCTGATGGGACGTCCCGGAGTCAGTGAGGATGTGAGCGATGACGAGCGGATGGTCATCTGTGAGGAAGAGGGTGACGATGATGTCATGGGTGAGTCTCTTCAGTCACTGCTGCGTCCAAATTCAGAAAATATACATTATTACTTTTCTCTTCCCTTTCCTCCTTTCACATATGTCCTTATAAATTGTACATAGTAATTGTAATCGTAATAATTCTGTTTTAAATTTCATACCTTAAAAGTGTATGCTGATTTGTATTATGCCTTACTCTCTTCTATTCTTGACCTCTCTTTTCTGACGCACCGAGCCAAAGTAATTTCCTCGTCTGTGACTTCCTGGTACTTACATGGCAATAAAAATGATTCTGATTCTGACATAACGGTGTTGCTCTAGGTTTGGTCAAGCCCAATCTATGAGACTGTTCTAATACCATATCTTCTTGAACTATCTGAGAGAATTATTCATTAAGTGGACTCAAGAAAGCTCAATAAAAACTACAGGATCTTATTATGGTCTCTCTCTCTCTGGTCTCTCTCTCTGGTGATTCTCTCTGGCCTCTCTTTCTCTGATCTTTCTCTTATCTCTCTCTGGTCTCTCTCTCTCTGGCCTCTCTTTCTCTGATCTCTCTCTGGTCTCTCTCTCTCTGGCCTCTCTTTCTCTTATCTCTCTCTGGTCTCTCTCTCTCTGGTCTCTCTCTCTCTGGTCTCTCTCTCTCTGGCCTCTCTTTCTCTGATCTCTCTCTGGTCTATCTTTCTGTTTTTTCTCTGTAATTGTAATATGTTTAGGTGCTATGTCATGTCCACAATAGAAATAATTAAATAAATACAGTTTACGTATGTCATATCTCCAAAGTCAGTAACAGTAGACACAATGTAGAGAGTAAACATTACTCTCAGACTGTAGTGTTAAAGGGTCAAATGCTATTTTTTTCAGAGGATTCTTGTCCAGAAGGTTCCATCGACCTCAAGTGTAAAGAGCGAGTGACGGACAGCGAGGACGAACCAGACGGAAAGGTACATACTGCAAGACAGTTTTTATTAGCATTAACTTTAGCACAAACTTTAAGAGGGAAAAGCAAAGTAGGTAGAAGTATTTTTGAACAATCAATCAGCTTTCTCTCACTCACAAGCAAAAGTTTAAATTGTTTCATATTTAGAAAAAGTATTGCTGTTTCATTGCATAGTAACGGATGCAAAGCTCACGTACATCATGGTAACGGACGCAATTTTTAAAGAAAGGGTACCTAACTTTTATTTTACTACTCATACATAAAACATTTGAATTTTCCAACAGAAATAAGAGTCAGACCATTCCATGTCTTCATCTTCATCGAAAACATTTTAACTTTTGTAAACGTACTATAAAGAGCCCTGTGAGTCACTATAGTTAACACTTTCAGCTGAGAGCTGATTGGCTGACTGAGGGTGGTCCATTTTTCCCTTTTCTGTCTGAAAAAGCTGATCTAAAGATGTGACAGAGGCCAACATACATACAGTGCCTTGCGAAAGTATTCGCCCCCCTTGAACCTTTCAACATTTCGCCATATTTCAGGCTTCAAACATAAAGATATTAAAAAATATATTTTTTGTCATGAATCAACAACAAGTGGGACACAATCGTGAAGTGGAATGAAATTTGTTGGATAATTTCAACTTTTTTAACAAATAAAACGCTGAAAAGTGGGGCGTGCAATATTATTCAGCCCCTTTACTTTCAGTGCAGCAAACTCACTCCAGAAGTTCAGTGAGGATCTTTGATCCAATGTTGTCCTAAATGACTGATGATGATAAATAGAATGCACCTGTGTGTAATCAAGTCTCCGTATAAATGCACCTGCTCTTTGATAGTCTCAGGGCTCTGTTTAAAGCGCAGAGAGAACCATGAAGACAAAGGAACACACCAGGCAGGTCCGAGATACTGTTGTGGAGAAGTTTAAAGCCGGATTTGGATAAAAAAAGATTTCCCAAGCTTTAAACATCTCAAGGAGCACTGTGCAAGCAATTATATTGAAATGGAAGGAGTATCAGACCACTGCAAATCTACCAAGACCCGGCCGTCCCTCCAAACTTTCATCTCAAACAAGGAGAAGACTGCTCAGAGATGCAGGCAAGAGGCCCATGATCACTCTGGATGAACTGCAGATAACTACAGCTGAGGTGGGGATGGTGTGTTCAGGGTGATGAGCTGTGTTGCTTTTACGCCAAACATATCGTTTTGCATTGTGGCCAAAAAGTTTGATTTTGGTTTCATCTGACCAGAGCACCTTCTTCCACATGTTTGGTGTGTCTCCCAGGTGGCTTGTGGCAAACTTTAAACAAGACTTTTTATGGATATCTTTGAGAAATGGCTTTCTTCTTGCCACTCTTCCATAAAGGCCAGATTTGTGCAGTGCACGACTGATTGTTGTCCTATGGACAGACTCTCCCACCTCAGCTGTAGTTATCTGCAGTTCATCCAGAGTGATCATGGGCCTCTTGGCCGCATCTCTGATCAGTCTTCTCCTTGTTTGAGATGAAAGTTTGGAGGGACAGCCGGGTCTTGGTAGATTTGCAGTGGTCTGATATTCCTTCCATTTCAATATAATTGCTTGCACAGTGCTCCTTGAGATGTTTAAAGCTTGGGAAATCTTTTTGTATCCAAATCCGGCTTTAAACTTCTCCACAACAGTATCTCGGACCTGGCTGGTGTGTTCCTTTGTCTTCATGGTTCTCTCTGTGCTTTAAACAGAACCCTGAGACTATGAAAGAGCAGGTGCATTTATACGGAGACTTGATTACACACAGGTGCATTCTATTTATCATCATCAGTCATTTAGGACAACATTGGATCATTCAAAGATCCTCACTGAACTTCTGGAGTGAGTTTGCTGCACTGAAAGTAAAGGGGCTGAATAATATTGCACGCCCCACTTTTCAGTTTTTTATTTGTTAAAAAAGTTTAAATTATCCAATACATTTTGTTCCACTTCATGATTGTGTCCCACTTGTTGTTGATTCATGACAAAAAATTTAAATTTTATATCTTTATGTTTGAAGACTGAAATGTGGCGAAATGTTGAAAGGTTCAAGGGGGCCGAATACTTTCGCAAGGCACTGTACATGAGAAAGCTAGTGATAGAACTTTGATTGACTTTATTACATAGTTCAATTTTTCTGGTTTGAATGTTTAGTACCTCGGCTTTAAATGTCTGGCTTCCGTTTAAGTAATAATCCACAGTCATACTAACATAATTACTTATATTTCTCTGTCAGAATGGTTTCCAGCCGGTGTCACGCTCCTCCCATCCCCCCTGCTCTCTCGACTCTGGCTCAGGACATGGCTCCGCAGGTCGGTGTGAAGACTCCGGGAACAGCAGGAGCAGAGGAGGCGAGGCGGGGCAGGAGGGAGGCGACAGAGAGGACAAACCCGATCAGACCACCTCAGCGGCGGGAGAGGAGAACGGGACCCAGCCTCCCCCCACCGGGACGAGCGTGGTGCGTCCCATCGCCAGCAAACCTCCGGACGGGACTGTGGACAAGAGGGGCAAGATGGACAGCAAGGTACAGTCGATATGGCCTGTGATTGGCTCTGAGCTACAAGCAGAGGTTGATAGACATTTGTATCGCCCAATTAACAGCTCTGGTCAATCATAAACCACACATCTTCTACAAGAATATTAATGGATGGTTCCCAGTCTGAGAACCATTCATATTCACTCGATGATGATGGTGATTTTTAGTTTTGTGTTAGCCAGGCTAGCTATGTCTCTGGTCTCTCTCTGGTCTCTCGCTCTCTGATTTCTCTCTCTCTGGTCTCTCTCTCTGGTAGTCTTTCTTTAGTCTCTCTCTTCGGTCTCTATCTGGACTCTGTCTCAGGTCTTTTCTCTGATGTCTCTCTTTCTGGTCTCTCTATTTGGTGTATTTGGTATCTTTCTCTGGTCTCTTTCTGATCTCTTTCTCTGGTGTCTTTCTCTCTGGTGTCTCTCTCTCTGGTCTCTCTCTCTTTGATCTCTCTCTGGTCTCTTTCTAGTCTCTCTCTGGTCTCTCTCTCTCTGGTTCGTCTCTATTCTCTCTCTGGTCTCTCTCTAGTCTCTCTTTGGTCTCTCTCTGGTCTCTCTCTAGTCTCTCTCTGGTCTTGTATACAATACAATGTATGTATTTGTTTTTCATGTCTACTTTACAGACTTTACACATTTACCTGAATGTGTCTCTTTTTCAGGACAAGAAACCCTCTCTGCTGATTGAAGGAGGCGGATCTCATCAACCGGTCACAGCAGGGGGTGGGTACCTGTCCTCCTTCTCCCCCCTCCATGTAAACCCCATCAATGGTAGTGCACTGGTCACTGGCCTAGTGTTCGGTGGGTCCCAGCCTGTGCACCTCCTGGCCCCTTCACTCCCACACTCTCTGCCCATCCTGTCACCGCCCTCCTCTGCCAGCATGGCCAATGGCGTGCACTCAGGGGTGGGACTAAGAGTCTGCCCCGGGACCAGAGGTGAGACAGAGACCAACCAAAACCCAAAGCTCTAACATTACTGGAAGCCATTAAGGATTATATACTTCATTGTGATTAAAACTAAGGACACGTGTTAAGCAAAATATAATTCATGTTTAAAGAAGGGTTAGCTAAATGTTCTGTTTAATCAATAATACATGTTTTCAGCCGATTAGCAAACATGTTATCTTTGCATACTAGAAAGATAGAGCCCTGTGTGAGTCACTATTTCACAACCAAGGACATCTGTTGTTAGCCGGGCTAGCTATGTCTCTGGTCTCTCTCTCTGGCCTCTCTCTCTCTCTGGTCTCTCTTGCTCTTAGGTCTTTCTTTTTGGTCGCTCTTTTTGGACCTTCTCTACTCTCTCTCCTTTCTCACTCTGGTCTCTTCCTCTCCTTTCTCACTCTGGTCTCTTTCTCTCCTTTCTCACTCTGGTCTCTCTCTCTCTGTTCTCTCTCTGATCTCTTTCTCTGGTGTCTTTCTGGTGTCTCTCTCTGGTCTCTCTCTCTGTTCTCTCTCTCTGGACCTTCTCTGCTCTCTCTCTTGCCTCTCTCTCTCCTTTCTCTCTCTGGTCTCTCTCTGATCTCTCTCTCTCCGGTCTCACTCTGGTGTCTCTCTGATGTCGCTCTCTGGTCTCCCTCTGGTCTCTCTCTTTGGACCATCTCTGCTCTCTCTCTCTCCTCTCTCTCTCTGGTCTCCCTCTGGTCTCTCTCTCTAGACCTTCTCTGCTCTCTTTCTGTGGTCTCTCTCAGCTGATGGTTTGGCAAAATTCGTTTACTTTTTTTCAAGCTGGGTTTTCTACCTTTTTTGTTGATAATAGTTCAAATTCCAATCCACTCCTTCTGCGTTCATCTGCCACATTACAACATGAAAACCCACGGCTTACATTCAAGCGCAGCTTATACGTGCACAAGATATACTTTCTTTTCAAATGCTGCTGGTGCGGCTTATATACAGGCGAGCCTAATAGTCCAGAAAGTCTCATAATTATACCTCAGTTTTGTGATCTCTCCTCTTTCTCTCTGTCTGGATTCATGTATGTTCTACGTTATCTGATCACAATCTGTCGTCAACTCAAAAACAACGTTCATCTCGACTTTTCTTCAAATTGCTCTATTTAAGAAAGACCTTTTGTTGACACTGCCCTTGCCGTTGTAATGTAATATGCATTTTCTTATGCTGCCCTATGCACAATCTCCTCTTTCCATGTTGGCTGTTTTGTAATAATGTCAAATCAAAGTCACTGCTTGGACCACTTCCCATACTTTGATTTTCCCCTAATGTCTTAATTTCATCTCCCTCAGACCTCGCTCAAATGGAAGTCGAACGCTTCTTGTTAGCCGACATCTTTGCCCCTTTCTCAATGATTTCAACTTTTACTTTTATGATTTTACCCGTGGCTTCTACCTTTACGTTGTTTCCAGTTTCACCTTGAATACTGTGGCTACATACAGCGATAGCATTTCAGGCCTCAGTTCGCAAATCGCTGTCTAATTTTAGCTGGGAAGAATAGCCAGGATCAGGGTCAACCTAGATGCAAAGAAACACAGATTATTGCTTTAAATGTACTTTCCCCTTTACTCGTTGTTCTGGTCTTTTTATTCAAACATCCAAGTCTTTGTTCATGTGGTCCGCAATGTTCTCAAAATAGACTTGATTGGCTTACGTAGAGTGGGTGATCGACAAGCCTCCCACCAACTCTTAATCACTCCCTATTCATAAGAGCCATCGCACGCTGCTATTTTCTGTCTTTTTGTTAAGAAGTCGAAAATAAAATATAGATTGTTGTCATAGATTCAAGATGTAGGGCAGGGGCCTGTGAAACTCTGTGGGAGATTCACTGTTTTTTGAAAGAAGTTATTAATGTAGCTTTAAACTCCACTATTGAACTCTGATTATGTGTTTGGACTGGCTCCATAAACTTTCATTTATTTTATTGCTTCAAAGGAGAAATTATTATTGGCCATTAAACATTATGTTAAGAATACAGTAAGCGTTGCATGTTTTAGAATGTTTTTTAAAGGGACAGTTAAAAGCTTGAGAGTAAAAGTGGGTCTTAAAATTTAAAACACCCAACGCAATGAGAATGCTGTTTTGACGTGAAGAGTAGGACGGAATGATTTATGGAACTTAGATTATTCAGTCACAGAGAAGGCCCTGTGCTCTGGGTTTAAGACAACAGAGAAGGCCCTGTGCTCTGGGTTTAAGACCACAGAGAAGGCCCTGTGCTCTGGGTTTAAGACCACAGAGAAGGCCCTGTGCTCTGGGTTTAAGACCACAGAGCAGGCCCTGTGCTCTGGGTTTAAGACAACAGAGAAGGCCCTGTGCTCTGGGTTTAAGACAACAGAGAAGGCCCTGTGCTCTGGGTTTAAGGCCACAGAAAAGGCCCTGTGCTCTGGATTGAAGACCACAGAGAAGACCCTAATCCTGGGTTTAAGACCACAGAGAAGACCCTATCCCTGGGTTTAAGATCCCAGAGAAGGCCCTGTGCTCTGGGTTTAGGACCACAGAGAAGGCCCTGTCCCAGGTAGATTTGGATGAGGTCTGAGACAATACTGTACACTGTATGAGAAAACGATCAAGAAACATCGGTGCATCCCTGATCTATTTTCACTGCTTATTATTTAGAAAATGATGTCTCAGTCAAACTAACGAATGCTTTGATGTAGTTATTAGTGTATATTCATTGATAAGTAACATAATTTACTGTTTCTACTCTTTAAAAGGCTTGTGACCCTGATTTACTTCCTGTTTATTCACAACATGTTTGGGACTTTTGGGTCTTTCTGCCGTGGCCGAGTGTTTACAGATAATCTTTTATAATGAGGTTCAATTATGTTGCTTGTTGTTGTGATTTTAATTTTAATTTCCTTTTCCTTGTTTTGGGACTTCCACTGTCCATGCACTTACTCCTCACTGTGACTCACCTTTATCTCCAAATACATAACAAGAAGAAGCCGATTTGAACAAAAGCTAGCTGGAGCCAATTTCCTTATATGGGCATTTCTGTCATGGGTGTGTTGCTAAGACGGTTGCTAAGGCAGACTGGATTGCCATGCCACTAACATTGGCACGGCAAGTCAAGTTTATTTGTATTGCACTGCTCATACAAAACAGTGATTTATAAACTTATACTTTATCTAATTGTACTCTCTGATGACGTACAAGTACAATTCCAGGTTAAAATCAATTATTTTTGTGTTTCTACAACTGAAGGATTGTATCTTATTTTTTAATTGCAGCATGAGTATTTCTGCCTTGTGTGATTTAACTTTATTTTTGACTTTTAGCTTTTAGAATTCCAAATGCTTAACTCAAAAACATAAAAAGGCAACAAGGAAAAGATGACTGTAAACAAAAATAAATAATTGTACAAAATTATGGATTAAAAATAAAAGGATTATAAAAAGAAAAAATAATAATAATAACAATAATAGATCAATCCAATCCACTTCATATAGGACATTTTATAAAACATGTTTCCAAAGTAACACATTTAAAATGTAATGTAATTTAATGTGATGTTTATTTATATAGCGCATTTTACCGACCAAGGTCACCCAAAGCACTTTACAATGTTCAGAGTCAGATATTGTTCCAATCATTCCACACACTGTGATGACAGAAGTGAGTCCAGAACACACTGGACCATCAGCTCCAACACCATCCATTCACTCTCTCATTTACATTCAGACCTATTGTGCATGTTTTTAGTGGGGAGAACATGCAAATTCCACTCAGAAAGGCCCTGTTCCGACCGGGATTCGAATCCAGGACCTTGCTGAGAAGCAAGAGTGCTATCTACTCAATACACAAGTCTGCCAGCTTTAAATAATAAAAAATAATAACATAAAAACAAATAAAACAGTCAAATAAATGAAAATGTGAAAAACTAAAGAGAAAGTACAATGAGAAAGAAAGTAAAAAAAAAGACAGTTTTCTTTTTCATGTTTTCAGCACTTTGAGTTTCCTTGCGTATGAACTGTGCTGTACAAATACACGTCATATCAACCTTTATCATTTTGCGACAATCTCCCAGAGCCACAATCTTTCCCCCTTCGCTCACATTCAACATCTGCCGCTCATATTTGTAGATAGTGGCGTCTTGAATCCCTGACTTACATCCTGGTTTATAGACGGAGCAGGTGGGAGTGTGTTGACTCTCTCGTTCACCTCGCTCTGGTCCCTGGTCCCCGTCAGACCATCGAGACTCCCTCTGCGAACGCCACCTGCTGTAGCTGCTCCAGAATCCTTCCACCGTTACCTCAAATAACCCATATTTTTATATTATGCAACGCTGTCACTTTAAAACGTGTGAAAAAAAACCTCCCAGTGTCTGTGTCCTCAAATGTCCCCTCGTTTAGTCTATAGTCTCTCTCTCTGGTCTCTTTCTGGTCTCTCTCTGGTCTCACTCTGGTCTAGAGTTTCTCTCACCGGCCTGTCTCTCTGGTTGGCTTCCTCTGGTCTCTCTCTGGTCCCTCTCTCTTATCTCTGATGGGTCCCTAAGGTCTCTCTCTCTGTTCCCTCTCTCTGGTCCCTCTCTTTGGTATCTCTCTGGTCTCTCCTTCTGATCTCTCTCTCTCTGGTCTCTCTCTGATCTCTCTCTCTCTGGTCTCTCTCTGGTCCCTCTCTCTGATCTTTCTCTCTGATCTCTCTTTCTCTCTCTCTCTCTCTCTCTCTGGCGTCTCTGATCTCTCTCTTTGGTCCCTCTCTCTAATCTCTCTCTGGTTTCTCTTTCTGCTTTCTCTCTGTGGTTTCTATCTCCGGTGTCTCGCTTCGGTCTCTCGCTCCGGTCTCTCGCTCTGGTCACTCGCTCTGGTCACTCTCTCTGGTCCCTCTCTCTAATCTCTCTCTAATCTCTCAGTGGTCTCTCCGGTCTCTCTCTGATCTCTCTCTCTGGTCTCTCTCTGGGCTGTCTCTCTGGTCTCTCTCTCTCTGATCTCTCTCTCTGGTCTCTCTCTGGTCTCTCTCTCTGGTCTCTTTCTCACTGCTCTCTCTCTCCGCTCTCTCTCTCTCTCTGGTCTCTCTCTGATCTCTCTCTCTGGTCTCTCTCTCCGCTCTCTCTCTTTCTGATCTCTCTTAATCTACGCTGTCACTTTAAAACGTGTGAAAAACCTCCCAGTGTCTGTGTCCTCAAACGTTCCCTGGTTCACAGCCACCTCCTCTCTGCTAATTCTCTGCTTCTCTCTCTCTCTCGCCTCCGTCGTTTAGTCCACCGAACCCAGTCGCCGGGGCTGCAGACGAAGATGCTGGTTCCCATGGCAACACCGAGAACAGGAAATACTCCTCTTCATCCTCATCCGTCCATCTCCCTCGTGGCCCCGCCCCTTCCTGTGCAGAACGGCCCCCAGGCAGGAAGTAAGGTACGGGATCGGCACGAGTTCGCTCTCCTCGTCAGCATATTAGCACATTACTGTACATGATCAAGGGACGGGGTCGTTCCTCGCTGGAGCAGGAGGGTCTCAGCACAGTGATGATCCGAGACATTTGTGGACATTTATTATTTATTTATTAAAGGAGCAGTGTGTAAGATTTTCATGTCATTTCCTCATTAAAGGGCCCTAAACTGTCAAAAGGCATGAATAAAACCTGCTCTTTTCAATACTTCTTTAACTGATAACAGTAGTTCAGAGACATTAGAATTTAAAAATTAGTTTCCCAGCCCCTAAATCTTGTTATTGTTTTAATTTCGATGTCCTGTCCTCCACCGTTTCACCAATCAGATAGTTCTAATCCGGGTTGCCAGAACTCGCTGCATCAAGCTAATCTCACCTGTAAAGTACCATGTGGCCGCAAAACTATAAAAGGTCTCGTTATGATTCTCAAATCAATAATGACAAAACAAGGAATAAAATGAGGATCTGTATTGGGGCCTTTGTGAAAAAGGTGTTGGTTATAGAACTCCCAGCTGGATTCCTCTGCATATCTGGCAACCTGAGTCAGGGAGAGTGGGAGAGGCTGCAGAACCACTTTTGGCCAGATTTTTTACATACTGCTCCTTTAACTTCCTTTATAGAAAATGCTATAAAGGACGTGGTCATGCTGCTCCATGACCACTGTTTTGTGTCTGTTTTATGTGTTTGTTATTGATGCTCTGATCTGTTATTGGTGAATCAACAACTTTGTAAAGTCCTCCGAGACAATTGCTGTTGTTGTTGAATTGAATTGGAAGTAAATTAATCTCCTGCACCGATTCAAGAAATGTGCCCATGATGCAATTTTCATATTCAAAGGTTTATGCAAGGATTTTCCCAAACTTTAAAATAAAACTACCCTCTTCACCTTTCAAACAAACTTTGACGAGCACTTATCACCAGAATGAGTGACATTTGGGAGGACCAATAGCCTTGACGATCCACCTGGAAGTAGAAAATCCTCCTATACACCTTTGAAATAAGATAAGAAAAATTGACATAAGATTTACTCGACAAAAATGTAAAACCTAGACCTTTTTTATAAAGTTATGAAGGGATCGTAACTTGAGACATGTCTGGGATCGTGACATGTTTTATTGTCAATGGTAGACGAGCACGAACAAAGAAGTTACAGAGATATAATACAGCATGGAGGAATGGGGACCGTCCAATCAGCAGTCGCCGCGGTGTCTGTAGCTTTGCCTTGAGATAAACCAAAACCTACTGCCTACTGTGCATATTGTTAGAATGGTGAGTTTAACTATAACCACAGTTGCTTCAAAGTGTCATGAAATCTGCAAAGTTATTTAGTCAATAATTGTATATCATTAGTTATTTGAAAAGGACGTGTTCAGCAACATGAAGATTAGAGACAGATCAAAGCTTCAGCTACAGCTTCCATCTGCAGTCACTAACAATACAATAACATACAATCAGAGAACAACAATAGGAAGGTACAATAGCATATAATGAACCCACACACACACACACACACACACACTTATACACATAGACACGTACACATACACACAAATACACTTACACACATAGACGCGTACACACACACAAATACACTTACACACAAAGACACGTACACACACACACAAATACGCTTACACACATAGACACGTACACACATACACAAATACGCTTACACACATAGACACGCACACACAACACACAAATACACTTACACACATAGACACGTACACACACACACAAATACACTTACACACATAGACACGTACACACACACACAAATAGGCTTACACACATAGACACGTACACACACACATATAAAGGAACACATACACAGCACTTACCTGTACATTACAACCACAGGTAAGTGGTCTCCTCTTATTAACATTACATGAAATACAAACTGAAACTATATTAGTTAAAACCAGTGTTGGGCACGTTACTTTGAAAAAGTAATTAGTTATAGTAACTAGTTACTTCTCCCAAAAAGTAACTGAGTTACTAACGGAGTTACTCTACTATAAAAGTAACTAGTTACCAGTAAAAGTAACTATTGCGTTACTTTTTTCGTTTTGTTCTGGAACATAATGTGCACTCGACGTGCACATTTTTACCTTTAACCTCAGTGAGTTTAAATAGTGCCAATATTTCCATCTAGAAAAGGCTGTTTTGCTGCTGAAGTCCTGTTCACTCTCCATCTCTCACTGTGCTGTAAGCACTAAACACCAACACCCGCCACTGTGAATGTGGAAACACCGGTGAAGCACTGACTTCAGCCCAATCAGATGAACATACAGTGCCTTGCGAAATTATTCGGCCCCCTTGAATCTTTCAACATTTCGCCATATTTCAGGCTTCAAACATAAAGATATAAAATTTTAATTTTTTGTCATGAATCAACAACAAGTGGGACACAATCGTGAAGTGGAATGAAATTTGTTGGATAATTTAAACTTTTTAAAAAAATAAAACACTGAAAAGTGGGGCGTGCAAAATTATTCGGCCCCTTTACTTTCAGTGCAGCAAACTCACTCCAGAAGTTCAGTGAGGATCTTTGAATGATCCAATGTTGTCCTAAATGACTGATGATGATAAATAGAATGCACCTGTGTGTAATCAAGTCTCCGTATAAATGCACCTGCTCTTTGATAGTCTCAGGGTTCTGTTTAAAGCGCAGAGAGAACCATGAAGCCAAAGGAACACACCAGGCAGGTCCGAGATACTGTTGTGGAGAAGTTTAAAGCCAAATTTGGATACAAAAAGATTTCCCAAGCTTTAAACATCTCAAGGAGCACTGTGCAAGCAATTATATTGATATCGAAGGAGTATCAGACCACTGCAAATCTACCAAGACCCGGCCGTCCCTTCAAACTTTCAACTCAAACAAGGAGAAGACTGATCAGAGATGCAGCCAAGAGGCCCATGATCACTCTGGATGAACTACAGATAACTACAGCTGAGGTGGGGATGGTGTGTTCAGGGTGATGAGCTGTGTTGCTTTTACGCCAAACATATCGTTTTGCATTGTGGCCAAAAAGTTTTATTTTGGTTTCATCTGACCAGAGCACCTTCTTCCACATGTTTGGTGTGTCTCCCAGGTGGCTTGTGGCAAACTTTAAGATACTTTTATTGGATATCTTTGAGAAATGGCCTTCCATAAAGGCCAGATTTGTGCAGTGCACGACTGATTGTTGTCCTATGGACAGACTCTCCCACCTCAGCTGTAGTTATCTGCAGTTCATCCAGAGCGATCATGGGCCTCTTGGCTGCATCTCTGATCAGTCTTCTCCTTGTTTCAGATGAAAGTTTGGAGGGACGGCCGGGTCTTGGTAGATTTGCAGTGGTCTGATACTCTTTCCATTTCAATATAACTGCTTGCACAGTGCTCCTTGAGATGTTTAAAGCTTAGGAAATCTTTTTGTATCCAAAGCCGGCTTTAAACTTCTCCACAACAGTATCTCGGACCTGCCTGGTGTGTTCCTTTGTCTTCATGGTTCTCTCTGCGCTTTAAACAGAACCCTGAGACTATCAAAGAGCAGGTGCATTTATACGGAGACTTGTTACACACAGGTGCATTCTATTTATCATCATCAGTCATTTAGGACAACATTGGATCATTCAAAGATCCTCACTGAACTTCTGGAGTGAGTTTGCTGCACTGAAAGTAAAGGGGCCGAATAATTTTGCACGTCCCACTTTTCAGTGTTTTATTTTTTTAAAAAGTTTAAATTATCCAATAAATTTCGTTCCACTTCACGATTGTGTCCCACTTGTTGTTGATTCATGACAAAAAATTAAAATTTTATATCTTTATGTTTGAAGCCTGAAATGTGGCAAAATGTTGAAAGGTTCAAGGGGGCCGAATACTTTCGCAAGGCACTGTATTTATCATATAAATCAAGTGGACAGTTTGTTTGGCTACAGCAAAATATGTTTCATGCCCACATTGTTTGTTCATACAAAACGCAAAACTATGAGTTATGGGTCTTACCTTATAAATGACCTGCACAGTCCACTTCAGTTCAGACCAGTTCTGTGTGTAAGTCCAGATAATGGTTTGAGCGTAGATATGTAATCCTCCATTTGGAAATGAGTCCAATGAGTTTTAAAAAGTAAAACAAAACGCGTGTGTCCTCCAAAAACTCCTCTGTTTTGCTGCAGCCGGGTGCATCCAATTTCTAAAACCAACCGTCTTACACTACACCTCTCTTTCTTATCATTCCTATAGTAATTGAAAAATTACCCTATGTGCATTTTAAATTATCTTAAAATGTGTTATATGTATGTTAGCCAAACCTGTTGCTGTCCTTAGCAGATAAACCAGGAAGAGAAAGGAGCTTATTGATGGAATTGTATGCAGCCTTCTGCGCTCACATGAGCTCCTCTGAGGCCTCACGGTGATAGAAGCCGTAGTTGAGCGCGATTAGGACCCATATTTGTTTCAAAAACACAATTTATGACCATCCTCTCAACTGTAGACATGTAGATTGTAAAGGAAATATGATTTACATCAGCCAATAATTGCTGAGAGGTTTTCTCATCCTCCCTTCTCTCATGACAACATGTTCATTGTGCGTCTTGAGTAACGCGCAGTAACGGGATGTCGGAAATGATAACGGCGTTATAGTTACTGTCAAAGTAATTAGTTAGATTACTCGTTACTGAAAAAAGTAACGGCGTTAGTAACGCCGTTACTAATAACGCCGTTATTCCCATCACTGGTTAAAACTCACCATAAAACTCATTCATACATTTCATACTATATTCAGTCCAAAAACGACAGTATTGTACATTGTTTATTTGCTAAATGCTAAGTTTGCTGTTATTTTCTACTGGTGGGTCCTGACTCCACTGCTCTGTGCGTGAGAGTGGACAGAGTTCTGATCGAAGAGGCAGCTGCGGCTACAGGTCAAAACGGAGGCAGTGGAGAAAAACAGGCGTAAAACTTTTTGATGCTTTAACTTCCCTCAGCTCCTTCACACACATCTTTGACACGTCTCTGTAAAAATAACCGCTTGTTCATTTATAAACGTATCTTTTCTGCCCACTCACTTTGCTCCCGTCAGATCATCCAGATCGCCCCCGTGCCCGCGGTCCAGTCCCACCCCAACGGAGCGCCGCATCCCGGGAGCCCCTTCCCTGTTTCCGTGGCAACCGTGATGGCCCCCAGCGCCGCTCCTCCGCCGGCCGTGCTCCTGACCTCGCCTCCCACCAGGTCGGAGTCATCAGACGCTCAACACAAACTTATTTACACACAGAGATGTTGCTTCTGTGCAAATGCCTCAGAGCAGATTTTCCTAGAGATGGATGGATGGATGCAGGGTCATGAGACACATGAGATACACAACAGACACACAAGAGACACACACAAGAGACACACAGAAGAGACACACACAAGAGAGAGACGTGAGAGAAACACGAGAGACACACAAGAGACACCTGTTATTAATGATTATCTGTGTCTTGGATTGGATTGGATAATGTCCAAAATAAGGGCGACTCACAGAGAGAGAGAGACCGGAGAGAGAGATCAGAGAGAGACCGAAGGGATACCATTGAGAGAGAGACCAGAGAGTGAGACAGAGAGAGCGACAGAGAGAGCGACAGAGAGAGCGACAGAGAGAGAGACCAGAGCGAGAGACCAGAAAAAGAGAAGAGAGAGAAAGACCTGAGAGAGACCAGAGAGACATCATACACAGAGACCAAAGAGAAAGACCAAAGAGAAAGACCAAAGAGAGAGACCAGAGAGAGAGACCAGAGAGAGAGACCAGAGAGAGAGACCAGAGAGAGAGACCAGAGAGAGAGACCAGAGAGAGAGACCAGAGAGAGAGACCAGAGAGAGAGAGTCCGAACAGAGAGAACTCTGAACAAATCATCGTGTCACTGTCTTGTTATATTAGCGCTTATATGATGTTGGGGAATACACACAGTAAAAAAGAACACACAATTGCACACAAAAAAGTCACAACAACGACAACTAGGTCAAATGAGTACCTTTAGCATTCGTGCAGATGTATGTTGAAGCTGTTTGACATGCACTTTCCAAGTTCAAATAAATAAATATGGTGTTGCTTATGTTTCAGGATCCCCTTTGTCCAGCCGACCACAGGCCCCTCCTCCGCATCCCTCCAGGGCCTGTCGTCTCCGGGACAGGCCTTCCTCCCTCAGCCCCTGGCCTCTCTGGGCTTCACTGCCATCGCTCCTGCTGCGCCTCCTCTAAGCTGCCAGAACCCAGCGGGACAAGTCACTGCGAACACAGGACGCCCGGTAAGAGGGCCACAAAGGACGGGGGGGGGCGCCAGGTCTCGCAAAGGTTTAACAGTTAGCGTTCATGTTGGAGAATTGTGTTTCAGTTGTAGGGCAAGTGCTGTAGTGGAAGAGTGGACTTTACGGTGCTAAAGGATCTGAGGAAAGCGGCTTGTCTTTGTGTGTTTTATTAAAATGGTGGAGAATAAACAATACAAGAAGGAATACAAAAAAGCAAAAAAAAAAAGACTATAGCGAGATCGACCAAGGGAAAAAAACCACACTGGAAAACACCAAATCAGTTACATCTAAGCAATGCACAAGAGAAACTTATATAATGGACTGGGATGATGTAAAAACAGTTGGAACGGAAGAACACAAATATTACAGTGAGGGGATTGGAATCAGGAAGCGGGGAGCAAGGGCCATCAACTGAGACGAGGGGGCCTTCACTTTGGCTCACACTTGGGACTCACTTCTCCAGAGACCACAGCGCGGCAGAGGGCGTGGTCAGTTTAACGGATCTGTCAGACTGACCACATCCGGTAACAACAGCCGATTAGAGACACATCACACCATCACGTGCCACCTCTGACGAAGGCGCAAGTCTAGTTAATTAATCAAGGCTTTAGGGTCACCAAATAATACAGGCACTGGAAAAAACAAATCCTCCAAAAAAACACCACAAAATATATGAAAATAATTGAAATACCGCTTAAAATAAGAAAAAATATCTGCCAAAAGGACAAGAATAATTATGACTTGACAATATCTATGAAAATAATAACCCCAAATCCCTTGATTCTAGTATAAAAACATACATTTCAAGTATTATTAAATATTTCAAATATTATTCACTTGGTACTGGTACTACTGGTATTAAGAAAAAATACTTAAAGCAAGATTAAAAACTCACTTTTTTCTCTTATAAGATTATGAAGTATTATTACCACACTGCAAACCCTGACAAGTAAAGTTTACTTGAAAAAACCATGGAAATAAATTGCGTATTAACTTCACTTGAATTCCTCGAGTACATCGTTTACTTGATATTACCAAGTAAACTCAGGTGATTGCAATAAAGTTTAAATTTCTACTTATGCTCCGACTGGGATTCGTACTCAATGGTGCTACCCACTCAGCCACCGGGCCACCCTGCCATTGTCACACCTGCCTCATTAAAGACTCTACACATCAAAATGTCAAAAGGGAGGCTTACTTGAACAGAAACAGTTCAATTCAAAGAAAACCCTGAGTGACATAGGCAAGCTTTAAATAAACTAACAATAAATGAGTAATATATACTTACTGGGAAAAATCTATTTAAAATAATTTTGATATCTGAAGTAGGATTGAAGTTAGGGTTTACAGTGCATAAAACTAGTAAAATAATCTTAAATGACAAACTACATTCAAGTAAAAAAAAAAACTTCCCATTAAAGATAATTTTTAGTAAATAAATCAAACCAAAATTTTACTTTTTTCAGTGGTCTTAGCAAAGAAAGAAAGACCCTAACCCTAACCCTAACCCTAACCCTTTAGAGATGGGTCAAAGACATTTCCTCGTTCACTTCTCTGAGGCCTCTGTCGCTTCACCAAGTCCTGACCCCTGTCCCCCTCCTCCTCCTCAGGTCCTTACTGCCATATACCCTGCACAAGCCATTGCCCTGACAGCTGGAGTGGTCCCAGTGACGGCCGTCTTCCCCAGCAGGCCGTCTCTGGAGACGCTCAGACCCTGCTCTCCGCGGGGTTCCGGGGGTCCTGGGGGCACGGTGAGAGTGAAGGTGGAGGTGAAGACGGAGGCGGAGGAGAACGAGTGCACCACAGAGAGCTGCGTCACTGCTGCAGGTGAGGAGACTGTGACACAGACACTGGGTAAAGCTGGGGCACCTCACTTTGGGTTTTCATTATAATACTTCATCAACACAAAGAGTTTTATAAAAGTGAAATGTAGTGAACAAGTCAGAAAACTAACTGCTGTCTTAGGCCGTCTTCACACTTAGACTCGTTCACTTTAACTGGAACAAATCTGGAAAATCTTTACAAATCTTTTGATAGTTTAGAAAGGTTCATCTTCAGCAGAAATGAAAGTATTTGGTTCTTCTTTAACAGACAATAGTACGAAGATAAAAACATCGCTGACTTTCTACTGTGGGAAATAGAAGAAGCAAAAACTTTCATCTTCACAGATCTGTTACAAACACATTTATCGCACAATTGCAATAACAGCGGCTCAACTGCAACTTTCACTTGCTCAGATTGTAAACATGGAGCTTGTCTGGTGCACACTGGGTACTTTTTACTAACCCTAACCCTATTCCACTGTGGTTTTACTGCTAATGATAAATAACTGATCTGAACAAAAAACAGCGCGAAATACTAACAAATACATGTAAAAGATGAAAACTGACGTGTTTCTAATTCCATAAATGAGTAGCTAAAGTTAGAGAATGAAACACCATTTAATAAGAAAACCTCTTTTTACCTTTTCTCCCTGATCCAAAAAACAAGATTAGAAATTAGTCTTAGTCTCACTGCAGGTGAAAGCCAACTCCTGTCAGACCTCTGAAGCAAAGCAGGGCAGGTCCTGGTTAGTACTGTGATGGGGGACCTTTGGAGAACACAGTGACTGTAAAGTACCAAACTGTTGATGTGTCTTTAGGCAAGACACCTTCCGCACAATGCTTAGAATGAACTTGGTGTGTGTGTGAATGGTTGGTGGTGGTCAGACGGGCCATGGCACATACTGGTTGCCTCGCTTCTGTCAGTGTGCCCCAGGGCAGCTCTGGCTATACGTAGTTGTTTATCACCATCCATGTATAGAGATAAGAAATAGGTTTGAGTGTTCAAAAAAGTGCTACATAAATGGCATTGATCCATTGTTTAAGTCTTGAAAGTTAGGTACCCCAGCTTCAAATACGTCATGTTACCTTTTTGGATTAAATAGTTTCACGGTTATTCAAAGCAGTGTCCTTTTTAACGAGGCTGTAACGTCCTTCTGTCTGTTTCACAGTGATAATCTATTATTATCTGTTTAGTAAATTGCAATTCTAAATATTTCTCTAAAACAATATTTCAGATAAAGCCGCTGTTTTGTCTCTGCCCCTGTACACAAGTCACATCAAAGGCCCTGCAGGCTCCGCTCAGACCACAAATCAAGTTAGCTATCAGTGGATTCTTTCCCCTTTTAGATAAAATGCCAGCAAATCTACCTCATAGTACAAATACAGAAAAAGCACTGGTCAGAAGAGCCATAGGGAAGCAAGTATGCCTTTGTGTGTACGCTAAAATAAATGACAAGTTTGAGTGTGTAAGACAGAAAACTCTAACGTCGTCAAAAGCCCGCTATGTTCTCCCGGTTTTGTGTTGTTTCCGGATCGTATGGATTCATCCTAAAGTGAACTCTGGCCACACGTTTAGAGGTGCCCTGGGACAAAGGAAATACAACACTGACAGTTGTAAAAATAGCTTTGTATTGTAGGATGTCAGCAAGAGTCAGCAATAGCAAAGTCAGTGTTCGGTTTCAATGGCTATTTATTAAGACAGTATGTTGTTTTTGCATTCGACGTACACAGTTTAGATCAGCATTTACAGAGACAGAAGCCATCAGAGGGCGAGAAAAAGTGAGCTCAAGTCTATACCCCAGGCATGTCCAAACCATGGATCTATGATAATAACTGTATAGGGTATTACTAGATTACTTAGAGCTGTCCCACCCATGGGCACAGGGGGCGCCCGTGGTACTGCAGACTAAATTCACGTGGGCTACCCAGAAAAAAGTCCCATAGAACTCAATGTAAACTAAAACAGCTCGACCTCAGCTGACAGAGAACCTACAGCTTTCACGAAGATCGGATTTTGTGGGGATTTTAGTGTCCCTTGTCATCCTGAACTTTTTTTCTTCTTAAATCCTTCGGTTTTCTTTACGTAAATCCACACTTTACTACCACAAACTCTGCTCCTTTCCTTCCCGCTCTGACTCCGCTCTGCTGCTGCTCTGATCAGCAGCTCTGATTGATCAGAGCGCGGCCGAGCCCCTCTGTGCACGTGCATGAGAGCCACACACATGTAGGACCAGACAATGCCCAAATATAACCGAGTTCCTCTGATATGTCAGTGCCCGTGAAGTCCCATGCGCTACTGAGCACAAACCATTCATTTGAATAGGACGCCATCTTGGATCACCCGGGTTTGGTCCAAACTCAGGCCCCGGGGCCAAATGCAGACCTCAGTGTCATATTATGTGGCCCTCTGCCTTGTTAAGCCAAAGTAGTCTTTAAGATCATAAACACTGTTGGATGGATCACTGTGTCATTCATCCAACTTCAGCTCAGCCAACATAGACATGTTGTGACTCGTTCTAAAACCCAGAACGTCTGGATTTCAGTTGTTGACTTTATTTGTACATACTTTACTGATGTGGTTTTTGATAGCGTCACAAACTTCCATTAATGGTGCTAATGTAGCTGTGAGATGGTAAACAGTTGTCTTTCAGCCAACTTCAGCTCTGTTATAGATCATTTTAAAGCTCAGAAGATCAGATGCAAGTCAAGACAGTTATTCAGGCCATGATGTTGGCCCTTCGACTAGTCTGGTGAACTAAAGTTATTAAAATGTTTGGACACCCCTGCTCTCTCCTGATCAAAACTAGAATAAGATCAGATACACTTTATTCTATTACTCTGATCCAATGACTATATTACTGGGCTATTTATCATTTATCAAAATAGCACAAAATCCACAGCTTTTCTGGTCCCTGGAAAAGCCTTGTTCCAGCTTCTTCCCTGGCAGAAGATCCCGCTGAGATGCAGGACATGTGGATATGCTAACAGCTTCTTTCCACAAGCTGCTTTCAGTCCTTTATTGATATTAACTTTGAATTGAAATTGTTTTTGTTGATTGGTTTCATAGTGACCCTTGTTTCTTGTGCTTTTTAGCTTGTTTTATTTGATATATTTTTCAGTTGCACACTGGGGACTTTTGCACATCTATTCCAATGTGGTTTTACTGCAATAAATTAATAATAAATAAACTGCTCTGTCAGAGTTTTTTTTATTTTAATGGAAGTGACGTGTCTCTCAAACTGCGTTCATTTCATTCAGTTGCATTATTACAGTGAGTCTGAATGATAAAAAAAACCACATCTTGTTTTTTATCCATTTTGCAGGAAACGGTGAAGGACAGATGATCCAACACATTAAGGAGGAAAACCTGAACGATGGACAGAGCTGGGAAAAACAAAACGTGACGGAGAGAGAGAGAGCAGCGAAGGACAGCGGTGACAAGAGGGACGAGCAGAACCGCAGAGAGGTCAGAACCACGACGGCTTCACCCTTTCGTAGTTTCCTCCCCTTTTGAGTCAATATATCTTCTTTAGGCATGATTGGAACTGAAATATTCTTTGGGTCATCTCACTTGCTTTTAGGCACTTTTACTGTCAAACTGCCTCTCAACCATTTGATAAAGGCCTATGATTTAAAAGGCAAAAAAATGGGTAAAAATAAAATGTGTTATTAGTGCTCCTATACAGAAAGAAATGACATTTCTCTCTTCAAGGAGTGAATGTTAAGGTGTTAATGCCATACCTCAGTGCTGTATCTGTGTGACTGGGTCTGAGAAAGAACCATTCAAAAGAGGATGTTAATGCCCCACATTCTGGTTAACCTGGAAAAGAGAAGGACTGAAAGCTGAAAGAGACAAACCATTAACCCTCTGGGCGCCACGGTTGACTTAAGTCGACAACATGCGGTACTGGATCGTGTCTAACAGGGTCAGGGCAGGATGCTCACAGTTGGGGCAGTAAGGATTTGCACCGTATTTCCCTGTGAGATCTGTCTCTGTGTTCAGGTGTCAGTGATTTGCAAGTGTATATGTATTGATAAACATTATAAAAATATAATAATAATAATAATAATTCAAAGTATAAATAAATGTATTTAAAGGATTTGGAATACAGATACAAAATACATTTTAGATCATGTATTCAGTATTCTGGAACTAATATATTTTCTCCCCAACACTATTCTTGGTCCAGTTTGGTTCAGTCCAAGCATTTTGTTCAGAAATATCTGAAACTCAAAAAAAACTACAAAAAAAAGTCTGACATTATATAAACAAATACAAAGAAATAAAAAATAAAAAATAGTCAAAAGATTAAAAACAGGCAAATATTCCCTAAAGAAAACAATTAGGACCTTGATTTAAAGCTGTGAACTGGTGATAGACCCAAACTGTTAGAGAGTTAGGAGTTAGTTACATGGATTTTATTACAGACATTTCTAATTTGTTTGTGCCAAAAAAGTTAGGTACCGCAGCTTTAAATGTATACTTTCATGTATAGACCTTAACTAGTAAAATCAATGATCATTGGATGGACAATAAAACAGTTTTCAATCACAGTCCACATTCTGTCTCTTCTGTCGAGCGGCAGCAGATCATTGGTTCAGTCATGTATTGTAGTAGTGCAGTTGTGTCATTGAGCAAGACACTTCAACCTCTTCTTCTTCCGTGTCCTCCAGGCTGGTTCCTGTTCCCCTCCGGCCTCAGCCTCAGGCCTGGATCCTCCCCCTCCCCCCACAGACCCAGGACCCTCTAAGAAGATCAAGTTCAGACCCCCTCCGCTGAAGAAGACCCCAGACTCGTACGTCCCACTGCTACACACACATACACGCTACACACACACACACACACACACACACATGCACACACGCACACACGCACACGCACACACACACTATACAAAAAGCCCAGTGGCAAGAAGACATGTAAAAGTGGACACATTTATCACATGGAGAATATTGAATTTAAGAATTTGCATAAAGAACAATCTCTAACTTAAAGGGGCAGTATGGGTTAGGGTTAGGGTTAGGGTTAGGGTATGTGATTTTACTTGTGTCCCCCAGATCACATGTGATAATCATATTTGACCTTTTCTTGAGTCATCCCTCATTGATCGTACTTCATGTCTATAATGTTTTTTTTCAAGCAGATTATCCAATCAGAGAGCAGAATGAGGGGTTTCCAGTTTATAAAATGTAGCCTTTTTTTGCTCTATATTAAAAGTAATATGAGCTGCCACCCACATCTCATAGCACCAATGGTTTCTTCAGTTTGAGTTGAAATACAGAAATAAATGAACTTATAAATGATGTTTCTCCTGTTTTCACAATCTAAACCATGAAAGTAAATATTCTCAGGTTAAAGGTCAGAATGAACCCAGGCAATGCTTCTGTGAAAACTCAGTCCTCTGAATACTTTAGCTCTGCGTGTGCTTTCTCTGACGTGCTGTTGTTACTAAAACACTTCTCTGGTCCGTCTGCTCGCTCTTAAGTTTGTGATTTCTCAACAGTTGATATTTTCTCAGTCTTCTGCTGTTTTCAAAGCTCAAGGACGGATGATTGTGAGTCCAGCAGCTTGAGGACTGTGACAGTGGGCAGGTCGCCTTCACACGTCCACTGGCTTTATTTAGTCTGTTGCCACTTTTTAATGACTGCAAATGTGCATCTTCTGTTCATTGTTACATCGGCATTATACCAGAACTGGGCAAAGTACGGCCCGGGTGCCACACACGGCCCAATTCATGTTTAAATGTGGCCCTCCGACCTTTTTACAAACTGTAAACTGTCTCTGAAGAGCTCAATGAAGGGGAATAAATACGCAATGACCTAAAATAAACATTTCTGGCTATATCTGCAAGCGAAAGCCAGATCCTGTCAGACCTCTGAAGCTAAGCAGGGCAGGGCCTGGTTAGTACTGTGATGGGAGACTGTCTTGGAACACCAGGTGCCACAGTGGGGCGGCTGTGGCTGTAAAGTGCCAAACGGTCATTGTGTCCTTAGGCAAGACACTTCACCCACATTAGAATGAGTCTGCTGTGTGTGTGAATGGTTGGTGGTGGTGGAAGGGGCTGATGGCACAGACTGGTTGCATCTCTTCTGTCAGTGTGCCCCAGGGCAGCGGTGGCTACAATAGTAGTTTATCACCACTGTGTATGAAGTGAAAGAATAATGACATGTGAATCATCTTAGCAATATAAAACTGATGCATTATGATGAAGGTTTGCAAGTTCATGAGCTACAATGACCTTGGAAACCTCATAATCATTCATAGAAAACCTTCTGAACCATCTGTCCACAATACTTAGTCTTCTTTAGCTTTGAAATAAAACATGTATCCATATTGATAAAAATGAGTACTTTTGACAGCCGCAGATGCAAAAGATCAGCTTCTCAAACACGTCAGATGTCGTTCTCCTTTACTCAAGTACACATTTCTTTTTTACTTTTTTAACAGAAGTACTGTAGCTTACACTCAAATATGTTGCTTCAGTTTAAATGAAACGGTAATTCCATGAAACCCAGTCCGGTCCACAATATTCCCACCTCTGCATTGTACTGGGACCATAATAGCTGAATAGAAAAGAGTTTTGTCAATAACAAATCTATAACCAACACCTTTTTCACAAAGATAGAAATGGTTTCATTTTGGTTTTATTCCTTGTTTTGTTGATAATGATTTGAGAATCATATCAAGACCTTTTTAGTTCTGCGCCACATGGTACTTTACCAGTGAGATTAGCTCGACACGGTCAGTTCTGGTGCCCGGATCAAGGACTTTCTGATTGGTGAAACGGTGGAGGGCGGGACATCGAAATGAAAACAAGATGTAGGGGCTGTGAAAATAATTTTGAAATTGGAATATCTCAGCCTACTGTTATCAGTTAAAGAAGCTTTCAATAAGGGCATGTTTTATTAATGCTTTTTGACAGATTCGGACCATTTAATGATGACATGACATAAAAATCTTACATATTGCTACTTTAAAACTGTTTTTTTTTTTTCAAATCAAACGTCTGTATCTTGTTTTTTTTTTGTTATGCTATTTGAGAAATGTAAGTCTGATTCTGACAAACAAACACAAACAAACAAACAGAAGTGGTTCTTGTGCTGCCGCAGGGTGTTATCCGGGGCGTACTTTGAGGAGCGTTTTGCAGAGCTGCCGGAGTTCAACCCAGAGGAGGTGCTGCCGTCCCCCACGCTGCAGAGTCTGGCCACCTCCCCCAGAGCCATCCTGGGAAGCTACCGCCGCAAGAGACGCAACTCCACCGGTCAGTCCTCACCTGCCCCCACGGCCTTCTGCTGTCATCAGACCACTCCTACTACTACTTATACAAACTAAAACCATCACATTACTGCAGTACGAGGGCTTCACCGGGTCAGAAATGCTTTTAGAAAATGACTACGTACCTGCCTTTTTATGTTGACTTTCTCCCGGGCTATACAAGCGTTGATAAGTAGGATAATTGCTACTTGTATTCAGCAGCTACACACGCTAATGAATCCAGGAGACTTTTTATTTAGTGTCTTCACTTCCCACAATCTACCTACATTTTTAACCCTTTTTATGTTTTTCTGTTATTGTTTAAAGTAGTTACAGGGCATCACCTTCCGTCTATTTCACAATATACATGTAGTTTTCATTTTCATGTTACTGTCCTGGACCTGTTTGTTTGTGTAATTGTGTTTACATGTTTGTAAAATGTGTAAATAAATGATAAATTGTGTATTATTCTGTAGTAATACCAATAAGACATACTAACTCATTGGTGCTATACCAGGACCCAGTGAACTGCCTCTCTCCTCTTGTTTGGCTTCTGATTTCTGTTATAGCTGTAACGAACGATTGTTTTGATAATCGATTCATCAATTATTCTTTCAGTTAATCGATTTGTTGTTAAGAACACAACTATGATCTAAATGTTTTTGACATCTGAGCAGGATAATTCATATTATTACACAATTGCTGTTTATATTTCTATGTAACTTCTGCTCTGTTTGAGTCATAAAGTCTTATCTTTCACCACACACACATCCTGGACTTTTATAAACAGCAGCTAACGGTTATTTGATCTCTGAAATAGTTGAAATAGTTGATAATTATTGAAATAACTTGTTGTAGCCCTAGTTTCTGCACTAACGACTGGCTTAGTTTTCAGCAGTATGTGGAAAAATAAGACATTAAGCAAACATGTCTTGATCCACTACATTCAATTCATTTTGTTGATTGATAAAAATCCTTGCTCAGATCTGGATGCAAACCCAGAGGAGCCCAGTTCACCGCGGAGGAAAACCAGACGTCTGTCCAGCTGCAGCTCGGAGCCCAACACCCCGAAGAGCGCGGCCAAGTGCGAGGGCGACATCTTCACCTTCGACAGAGCCGGTAACCACACACGATCTGAAATGTTCTCTTTTCTTTTATGTTTTAAGGCTCGGGAACGCGTCAGTCAAAACATTAACGGCTTCAAATTTAACTTTATCCGTAGAGCACTTTGAGATCAATCAAGTCGATCAGAAAATAACAGTGGATGTAGCCTGTGTCTGTCTAATGTTCAAAGATAGTCTAGGACAGGGGTGTCAAACACATTTGGGTCGAGGCCTGGGGGAAATAATAATAGTTCCTAAGGGGCCGAGAGTGTTTGAAGCTCATCTTATGCATCTCTGGATACTTATATACTATAATGAAGCTATTTAGACAAAATTGGTACATTCATAAAACCTGTGGTAATAGTAGCTCAGTTGTTATATAAAACCGATGCATTATTATTATAAAACCTGAGATCATTTTCTGGTAGATTTTTCTGAACCAAACTAATTCATTTTCTGTATGTTTGGACTGAATCAAAGCGGGATCATAGTTAAAGGATTGGCCATTGATTTATACTTGTTAATTACCTTTTGGGTTAAAAGTTTAGAATATAGTTAATTAGGTCTAACACACCATGGTAGCTCATATTAACCTAACCAACAATTCTGTAAGTTAGAAGTAAAATTGACAATCATTTCAGGGGCCTCAAATCTAGTGGGCCTTGTGTTTGACACCTGTGACAGTGGTTCTCAAACTTTTCACACCAAGTACCCCCTCAGAAAATACTTGCCTCTCCAACCTCTCCTGACCAACAACACACAGTAGCGTAGTAAGCCGAAGTATTCATCAAAAACAAGGCAGAGGTTTAATTCCTAAAGAAGTATATTTAATGTAATGTTTTACACAGTTTCAACAGTAAGACTGCGCTTAAATATAGGAATTTTTTTTTTTTAAATGTTTCATTTATTACAAACTGCAAAGCCTCACTGTGAATGATATTCTGGAGTGGGATCTTTGTCCACAGAAGGTTTGGACTCTGGTGCACTTTAGTTTCTAAGGCTTGTTCTGCTGCCCTCTTACATCTGTCGTTTACTCACAGAGACATGTTCATATGGTTTGGATCAAATGATCGTTTGTTGCTCTCTATTCCTTTTGCACAGAACTGGGAAAAAAAACTTTTATTTTTGCTGCTCCTTCTACATGGAACGTGTTGCAAAAAGTATGGTCTGCTGCTATGACCCTCCACATGGTCTGCTGCTATGACCCTCCACATGGTCTGCTGCTCTGACCCTCCACATGGTCTGCTGCTCTGACCCTCCACATGGTCTGCTGCTCTGACCCTCCACATGGTCTGCTGCTCTGACCCTCCACATGGTCTGCTGCTCTGACCCTACACATGGTCTCTGTCAGCTCTGGAGACACATTTACTGCTCAAACTGCCTCCAAATGTAGCCTGACCCTGACTATATTACTCCATGTCTGCTTCACCTCTGTCTCTCCTGCTCAGAGTGCTCAGAGTGATCTTTGACCAAACCAGGGAGTTCTGCTGCCACCTGCTGGCCTAATAAAATACTGTCTACAGCCAAACCCCAGACTGTATGATACAGGGGACACAGACTGACAGGAAAAGATTGAAAAACAATGTTGTCCTCAAATGACATCCATTTTTTCACAGATTTTTTTTTTTTCACAGATTCTATGGCGTACCCCTAGAGGGTGCCCGCGTACCACTAGGGGTACGCGTACCCCAGTTTGAGAAACACTGATCTAGGACATCATGATGTTGACGATCAGCATGTTTTTTTTCCCTGCCGAAGCATTGTTAAATAGCTGTGTTGTGTCTGTGGACAGGAGCAGAGGGGGAGGATCTTCTCGGAGACTTGGACCGGGTCCCATATTCGTCTCTGCGCAGGACGCTCGACCAGCGCCGCGCTCTCGTCATGCAGCTCTTTCATGACCACGGCTTCTTTCCATCAGGTAAAAACTCTACAACAAGCGATTTCAGAGACACGACCAAGACTGAGACACGACTGAGACCTGAGTCCTGGAGCGGATTCCTCCCTCAATATGGGTCTCCCTGAGGTTTCTCACTTTTCTCCCACTGGGTTTTCAGTTGTTCCTTGCAGATGCAGGAGGGTCTATTCACAGTGGTGATGATTCAGGACTCTCAACATTCAAAAATCTTAAGGCTTACAAGGTTCTTTTAATATAACAGAAAAGGAAAGAAAGCTAGTACTGCTTAAGCACCAAGTGTTTCGGCGGGAGACTTGTGCCTTTGTCAGAGGTGACACGTGATGGTGTGACACGTCTCTTATCAGCTATTGTTGCCGGATGCGGTCAGTCTCATTGGCAATTTTAATCAACAGCGACGAGGGGCCTTTCACCTTGGCTCACACTTGGGATTCACTTCTCCAGAGACCACAATGTGGCGGGAGACGTGGCCAGTCTGATGGATCTGTCAGACTGACGGGATCCGGCAACAACAGCTGATGAGAGACATGTAACACCATCCCGTGTCCCCTCTGACGAAGGCAGAAGTCTACCGCCGAAAAATGTGGTAATCAAGCAGAACTAGATTTCTTTACTTTTAAGTCTTTTTAAAGGATAAAGAAAAGAACCTTCTAAGCCTTAAAAACATAAGAAGACAAAATTGACTTTTTACTTTTAATTCAACCATCTTAACTTTTGCGTATGAGAGATGATCACAATGGCACAGTGGTTAGCGCTTGTGCTTCACAGCAAGAAGGTCCAGGGTTCGTTTTCACCTCCAGGCCTTTCTGTGTTTGCATGTTCTTCCTGTCTCTTTGTAGGATTTGTCCATATGCTCCCGTTTTCCCTGCCACTAAAAACATGTAGAGCAGGTCTGAATGTAATGAGAAAGGATGGTGATAATTGGAGACTTTGATGCTCCCATGTGTTCAGCGGCTCACTGTGTGTGGAGTGAATGGAAAATTGTTAGTACTCCATAACATTGTAAAGCTCTGTATAAATAAAGAGCACAGAGGCCAAAATACATGCATGTGAAAACGAGTGTTTGTTCTTTACCAGCAAGAAACTAGGATTTTATTACATCAATTCCATTTATGTGGTTTGAAAGTGATGTGCCCCAGCTGCAAGAGATTATGCTCAAGTTTGAGCACCAAATAAAACACAAATAATTAATATTACCTGTGTGTGCATGTGTGCGTGCGTGTCAAACCTGTATTAGTGAGACAAAATTTGAAATGTGTTTTTCAGATTTGAAATGAAATCGACCTATAACTCTGTAACATGTGGTCTGTGTCCTCAGCTCAGGCCACGGCTGCGTTCCAGGCTCGCTTCTCGGACACGTTTCCCAGTAAAGTGTGTCTGCAGCTGAAGATCCGCGAGGTGCGACAGAAGATCATGCAAGCCGCCACGCCTACGGAGCCCGGCGGGTCGGCCGAACCCAGCCCCGCCCCTCCCCACTGCTCCTCCTTCAATCAGTCCCAGCGGGAGGACACAGGCCCGGGGGAGCAGGGGAGCGCGGACGACGAACCCAAAAACGAAGGATCATAAGCCAGAGAGGATATCAACGCGGAGACGTGTACAGAGCTAGAGCCAAGGCGGTATCCTCTCCAAAGAAAGACATGTGTTATTCCACTATTCACAAAGACCTGGGCATAGAAAAATACAGTGCGCTTACGATTAACGCTCGAGAAATGCTCTTGGGTTGTCGCATCAAACAAAGAAGCCTCAAACGTCGGGAGTTGGAGTCAAAGCAGCGGAAAAACGACAAAGCAAGAGCATCGCCAGCTAATCTTTTATGTTCAAATATCCCAAGTAGTTTGTGGCAGTAGTAGAGGGATGCCCAGGTCTGCTCTCAGCACACTTGTACAGTTAAGTTTCGGACACAAACTCAGTGGTACACTCGTTAATATCTGGTGCATACAGTGAGATGTATCCTCCTCCTCCTCCAGCAGCATGATCCTCCTCACGGCGTCGCACTTACACCAAAATCAGACTGTTACTGTTGGCGAAGGAGCGAGACCCTGAGCACCACTACCACCACCACAACGGCACTTTGTCACTTCTAATGTGCAGATGCAGTTTGCTGAATAGCCAGCCTTCAGATGCCATTGACTCTCAAAGATAAAAGAATAACCTCTTTTACATACAACCCCCTTTCCGATGTCCACTCCTCAGCAAAGTGGGCGACTAGGGGAGAGTGCGAAACACAAAAACCAACGACCTCCACTGAGTTCATAGCCCCTTCAATGCTGCAAGACAAGACAGCACACACCTCAATGTGACCTCTCCCAGTCTCAAAACAAACAAACAAAACCCAAACCATGGTATGACCAAGCCATCGACCTGCACAGATATCGTGATTGTACTGAGAAGAACTTTTAAAGGATGGAATCTCTTGCTCCTCAAAAAGAAAAAGATAAAAATGTTGGAGTTTGGGGTTTAATGTGACCAATGTTTGCACCTTCTGATATTGCCATTTTGAAAAGTGGATGATGAGTTGGCGGGTTGGTGATGAATAGAGTATGTATGTTTAAATGTTGTGTGTGAAAAGTTCAAGAGATTACTGGTTTTGAGGCTTTTGAAGAATCAGCGTTTAGCTTGAAACGGACCTGAGGAAGAGGAGCACAGAAGAGCAGAGAGAGAGAGAGAGAGAGAGAGAACCTGGATGGACAGGTTCCCTTCAAAAGAATCACTATACATTTGTACATCAGCCCAGCAGGACAATCCACCTCTTTGAAATCTCAACAGTGAAAAATAATGTTGCTCTTTTTCTTGTTATCGTCACCGTGGAAATAACCAGTTTTAACCGTGGCCTGTTTCTCTCTTGTGGCTCTCTCTGTTGTGTTTTTTCCTCAAGCATACAGTTAATATCACTTCGGACAGGTCGGCCCCTTGCTCTTCGGCCCCTCGGATCCAGAGCAGACACACGGTTGCGGGTTAGGGTTGCAGGGGTGTTCCGTCATTTTGTAAAAAAAAAAAAACGTTGAATTCAGGTGTTTGCACAATTTGTGTGGTCTCTCTCCAGAGGGACCACCGCAAGTTAAATCAGGAAAGTATTGTTTTTAGAGATTGTTTTAGTAGTGAGTAATAACCTTGTTCCATATGTTATCAACAAATCCTCACCCTAAACCCTCCCCATGACCCTGCTGTCCTCCCCCCTCCCCCTCCCCCTCTCACCCTCACCCTCAAGTGTTAGGAAGTGCCCTTAAAGCACTGGTCCCGGGTCAAGCGCTATGTAGCTCAGGATGGTTGTGATAGGGTTAGTTCAGGGAAAGCCGATCCTAGACCAGCCCTATAGGGGGCAGTCTTTGTGCCCTCCCCTATTTCCTCTATTCTCGACACTTTATCCTTTCCCATCAAATGGTGCAATAGGACTTTTATTTTGTTTTTATGAAAAAGGGGCGGGGTTTATTTGTTTCGGGGGCTCTGTGCCATAGATCCATTGCAGTCAGTCAGTGGGAAGAAGAAGAATGAGATGTTCTTTAGCTATGGTATAAACTAGAGAGAGAATCACATCGTTATTGTTGTCGTTGAAAAGATAGAGCATATATAACTTACTAAAAGTCAAAGACATCTTTTGAATAGCACTTTTTGGCTCTTTGCTTTTACAGTGAAGAGTGGGGTAGTTTGTTAATTCTTTCATTTCTCTGTATACAGTCGGGTGTGTGACAAAAATATATATTCTGGTATTTCCATATTTGTGCATTAAAGTCTGCATTTGGGTGTGTGTATGTTTAGGCACATGCAGGTCATTCTATTCAAGAGGAGTGGAGTTTTGAAGTTGGGTTTTGTATGAACTCTTGATTTTTATCTCTATGAATCAAGCGCTGTGAATTCACGCTGTACTGCCCTCCAAAGACAAAAACAATAACTGCATTTCTGTGTGTAGTTGATGTCTGGTCATTCAGCACAATAATGAAACATTGAATAAACTTGGGCCACTACTAGTAAGTACTACTAGTAATTATATATTTTTTCAAATCAAGATTCATACAACTCAACCTAACAACCCTCTTTTATCACACCAACAATATAAACATTATATTTCCTTACTGACAAATAGACAGTATTTTTATAGTCACTGTGACTATTTCCTCCATTGTTTTGACTGTTATCAATGATTCAGGATTTGTTTGACGTCTATATTCAGGAGAAAAACCACGATTCAATCACAGCCGTCGTCTTTCACCCTTCATTCTCTGGGTTCATGCACATTCACACACCCAGCCAGACGTGGTGCACTCGAACATGTATGCGTGTACACTGTATGATTGTAATAAAAATAAAACTATCCTTATTTTGGAGAAGGAACATTAGGATGTGAGAGATGAGTGTATCTCATAAACAGGCATGTTGACCATGTGCAATATTTCTAAACAACAAAAAACTAAATATTGAAAATATTAAAGTTCTAACACAAATCTGTTGTGTCTGGTTTATTTCAGAGTGTAATTAAACTTGTGGTATTTGAAATAGGGCTCTCCAAAGACTCCAGTAATCATATCAGAAATGTCAGCATTTTTTAATGACTGACCAAACAGAACAAAACAATACATTATTTTAAGATGTTTTCTGTAGTTGAACTTATGTCAGAATGTGTGTTTGACCAGCCAGACTCTTCTTCATTCTGATAATCTATTAAAGAATAGTGACGTTCTGACTGGTCAGGCGAGTGTTCAGGAAATAAAGCATGTTTTTCCATATCTTTTTTTTTTTTCTTACCTTTTTTCATGTAACAGTACTTAAGTAAATGTTTTCAGTATGCTATCCTCTATCTTGGTCAGATAGATATGGGTGAAGGGTACTTCTATGGATGAGATTGGATTATTAAATATGGTTTATTACTAATTAGTTTACAATTCTGACAGTTTTACTTTGAACCAAAACAAACGAAAATTCGTTCGATTGCTATATTTTTTCACTGATATTTTTGTATATAATTATGTTGAATAATAATAACGATGATAATGATCATAATAGTAGTAGTAATAATGATAATACTATTATTATTAATAATAATAATAACGCCACAGAAGCGCTGACACTTCTCACACCCACTGATAGAGAACAGTGCTGAACTCAGTTTCCCATAAACCCTTGCGAGCTGACTGTTTCTGGGTGTCTAGCAACCACAGCTCGGCAGACACCGGTGGCCGCGGGAGCGCCGTCTCCAGTGCCTAGTGCGGGTGTATTCCTCCGGTGTGTGGTTATCCAGAGCCATTCCTCTGCAGCAGAAGCAGGACAGCCGTGATATGAGCGGCAGCGGGCGGGCGAGGACCAGCTCGTTTGCTGAGCCGCCCTGCATCCCCGGAGCGCCCGGAGCGGCTGCTGCTGCTGTGGGGAGCAGCGCAGGAAAGAGCGCGGTCTCACAGGCCTCAGCGGGATGTGCCAACCTCAGACTGTCCCGTGAGTCTTTCACACACACAAGTCTTTCTGCGTCGTCTCTGCTCCAGACTGTCGCGCTGCGAAAGGCTGTTTTCTCCTTTGCTTTTAGCCTGATTCTACCTGATCTGCATCACCAGCCACTCTCCATGAGAAAGTGCTGTGCGCATGCGCAACACGCTCCTCCGCCTTGGATATGGAAACTGTAGACAAGAATGATTAAAATATCATGTTTGGCTCGGTCTTTTCTGTCACAGCTTCTGCATCTGAGCTTAATACAGTGTTCCACTTATAAACAGGTGTGTTCTGGCCTCAGAGGTCCGCGGTGTGTCGTTCTACAGCACGGGTCAGCGGTGTGGCACTGATCCGGTAATGTGCTAGCATTAGCATTAGCATCAGCGCTGTCGCTGCTTGTTCAGTTATGTCATGTTTATGTGTCTGCTGTGTATTTCATAGATTAGTCATTATATTTGTGGGATTAAATGTCATTTATCACATCCCTGGCTCTAGGAGACTCCCTCTTCCTCTGCTCTGTGCGCGGAGAAAGTATCTGTAAATCTGGGTGTTTCTTTGGCAGGATCCTGGAGACAAAAAAACAAGAAACTTAAGCGAAATATCAGTGTTTTTTATGCGCGTTGGTGATTATTTGTTTGTGGCAATAGACTGGAAACGTGTCTTTTTTCACAAGGTCACCTGTGGGCTGAGGATGAAGCGATGATGAGTATCTGTGTCATAGGATATGACTCCAAATCAGTTCTGCCGTTTTAACACTACACCAGATGCCATCTCTGTAAACTTTGAAGAAATCATCAATTGGCTTTGAGTGGATAAAGTCTAATGTACAATAATACAGTACGGCTGCTTTCAACTATTGTAGGAGACTTCTCAAACGACTATTTATAATGTCATGGTTTTAAATAATTTATAACAAAAAACTTTAGCAAATTCTACACATTTTGTTATTGAATATGTACTTTTGTTTTTAGACTGTACAGTGCTGTTAACATATGGCAATCATTAGAAATGTCAGCCTTACAGGACAGCATGAAGTTATTTTTTCCCTTTATAATTTCTTTAGTTTATTTTTTTTTTTCACAAAAAATCACAAATAAGGCAGAATCAATGTGATTTTTGAATCTGAAATTGAAGTTTTAGGTTTACTCTCTTCAATTATCCAGCAAATATGAAAATACATGACCATTTGACAATAAATAGTATGAATATTTGTTTTATTTCAAAAATGCACAAGATGATAAACTAACCATTATTCACAGAAAAATAGAATAAACTAATAACAACAAAATACCCACTAACGCACTCTCTTGCTCACACACCCTTAAACTATAAATGTTTTCAAATTGTTTTATCTCAAATAGTCCACACTAGCAAAATTAACTTAAAATTTTTTAGTCTATTCCCAAATATTAATGTTAATGTCATATCAAACATACCTCAAACTGCTTCAATGAACTAAAGTCAGTTGTGTTGGGCTTGTGTGTTTTGTAGTAAGTTGTGTGTGTGTTGTGAGGCCTCATCCTACAGTGTGTCTTTAGAGGCCGCTGTAACGAGAGCCCCTCGTTCATCTAATACTAAACGTCCATTGGCGACAGCAGTGCTCCAGTATTGGGTCATCTCCCGTTCAGAGTGGCCCCTGGTCCTAGTCCTGGTCCTACATCAGAAATGGGTCTGAGGAACGCTACCTCACTAAAACGCAGTCTGTCATTTAGTTTTCCTCGTTAACAATTGCATTTATAATATCAATATTATTCCCACCACAAGGAAGGGAACAGAAGTAGAAAGAGAATTAGTTTGGGACTAAATCACGGACAAATTGGAACCAGGACAAACTACATACATTTTTCATTAGAATAAATCATCTTTCCATGGACTTCAGAGGTTACTCACTTTTTCCATCTGGGTTTTTGAGTCTTTCTTTGCCGATGTACGAGGGCCTAAGGACAGTGACGACCCGGGACCAATGGTTCCTATGTGTTATTTTTGTACTCTTTGTGTTTTAACTTTTTGATTCTCTAATCTGTCGTTGGAGAATCAACAACTTTGGAAAGTCCGCCGGGATGACTGTTTTATGGCTCTACTGTGTGGCCATACTTGCATGTGAAAGTCAGACCTCGGAAGTTGTGCAGGGCAGGGCCTGGTTAGTACTGTGATGGGAGACCTCTGGGAACACCAGGTGCCACAGTGTATAGTGCCAAACTGTCGTTGTGTACTTAAGCAAGACACTTCACCCACATTGTCTAGAATGAGTCTGGTGTGTGTGTGAATGGTTTGTGGTGATAGCACATACTGGTTGCCTTGCTTCTGTCAGTGTGCCCCAGGGCAGCTGTGGCTACAGTATTGTATGTACTTTATTTGAACAGGGACAGTGTACAGTTAAGCATTAACACAAAAGAAGAGATGCATGTACCAGGTTATAGCAGAGATGCTAATTTCCACCTGTAGTCCCTGGGCAGGCTGGTGTTATGTTCATTTAAACTGATTACAATGTAGATGGATACATGACTGTCTTACATTTACAGGCTTTAAATAACATCATTCACAAAAACATAAAGTTTAATAACGATAAATAAAGTTCCCCAATTTCTACCAGAATACTACACCAGTAGTAGTTTATCACTACTGTGTATGAAGTGAAAAAAGAATGACAGGTGAAGTGTCTTTGAGTGTCCTGAAAAGCGCTATATTAAACTCATTTTTTTGTTATTATAAAGAAAGAACTTGACTTAACCTTACCTTTCCGAGCCTACTTTATTGTCATAGGTTTGACTCATATTTCCCATAGAAACAACTTCATAAGTTTGCACCAAACCATAAAACACATTTCTTTGTGTTGTTTGCATTTGCTCCATTACCACTCGTACCAAGAAGGATCAGGGTTCCATTGCCCCTTCAGACAGGGATTTTCTGTGTGGAGTTTGCATGTTCTTTCTATGTGTGTTCCACTTTCCTCCGTGTGCTCCGGTTTCCCCTACCACTAAAAACATGTACAAAAGCTCTGAATGTAATGGGAGAACTGGTGGCGATGGTCTGAGGCTCTGCTCTCATCAGGGGAGTGAATTGAAAAATATCTGAAGCGTTTTTGAGTCCTTGCTCTGCAAAATGCGCTACACAAATAAAGATTACTCACTAACTTACTCATGCATCCTTCTATGCTCTACAGCAGTGTTCCCCAACCTTTTTGAGCCGTGGCACACATTTTTCCTTAAAACAATCATATGGCACACCTCCAGCTGAAACTGATGTTATTCTGCAGCCTTTATTACCGAAACAAAGTCATTATCATCGAAATGAAAATTAGAGAAGTGCAAAGTTGTATTTCTAATCTTGTAGTTCTCTTTTTCCTCATTATTTTGACCAAGTAGATGATATTGGATCATTTCCCAAGGCACACGGAATAACATCTCAAGGCACACTAACGTTCCACGGCACACTGGTTGAAAAACACTGCTCTACAGCTTCTCAGGAAACAAGCTCACAGATCTCCTCTACACATTTCACATTCACTTTTAATAATTCAAGACTTCTGGCCATCTTCAAGTGCTGTATGTGTGTGTCATGTTAGCTGTAGGGATGTCAACAATAGTGAGGTAAGAAGACATTGTTATAAGCAAAAGAATAATAATTTCAGCCGTTGTCAAAGGAAAGCCAACTAATATTAATATTTTTTAATATACTATTTTTGAGCTATTGTTTTTGATCACCTAGCCCTGTCCTATCATGTTGTGTAATTTCAATTCAGAATGGGACATAAATTAGTCCCTTCCCTTGGCATTACCACCACTAGTTTTTGAAGAATTTTTCAACCAATGGGGAGTGAGCTCGTCATTCAAGGATTTGGAGTGATTGGAGATGATCAAAGAAAATTGCTCAAAAGTTTATTTTGCTTCTGTAATTTAACTTATGTCTGACTCTTTAAACGCTGAGTGATATTTAAAGCTACAGTATTATAGATATTTATTATAATGTAACCCATTTAAAGTGATTGTCTGCAGTTTGTCAGAAAGAGGTACTTGATTTTTTTTAAAAACGACGCAAGCTCCTCCCCCTTCCTTTCTGATTGGTCTACACCAACGTTACAACTGAGCATGTGCGCAGCTACGACCATCAGCGCTGATGATTGACAGCCCTTGGCATGACTCGATTGGTTAACGTGGACGGCATCGTGGATTCTGAGCTATAGCTAAGAGAAGGGAAGGCGGAACTTACCTGTAATATTAGAATTAATAAAATGACTTATTTTATATCAACATTTAAGGCCAGGAGGTCAATTTAATACATCTTAAAATTTGTAATTCATTTAGAGTTACAGACTCACTTTAACCTTAACCCATATGCTATTCACCGGTCAAATTACCCTAAATAAGCTGAATTTTGATGTATTATGATGATTTTTTCCCCCAACCTGATCAGCCCTCATGGGTCATTTTGAACCGAGGGGAAAGCACAAGGACAAAAGCCTGCCCTGCTATTGCCACTCTTTATTGCCACTTTTTAATTGTACATGATTATATCCTGCACAAACTATTATTCTAACCTTGAACATGTTTGCACACTTCCGTCTTTTTTGCACAATCTGAGTGATTCTATCTATGCCAAATGTGATGTGTACATTTCTCCAGTGTGATATCAATCAAATCTATCTTATCTTAGCATTTTAGGATTAGATAATATAAACAGTTGATTTCACAATGGAGACATTTACAGAAATTACTGAAATCAATGCACTTTTGAACAATTTTCTAATACTCTTAAGATGTCTTTGTGAATAATCATAAAATTGTGGTGTTTTTGTTTTGTTTTTTAACCGCATTATCTGGAATTTGAATGTTTTGAAACGAGGACGTGTCCGTTTTGTCCCAGTGTCACCTTCGTAGCGTTGACGTCGTTGCCTCGTCGCCTCCTCCTCCTCAGACTGAGATTCTGCCGATGTCTGGACGCCAATCTGCTCCATCGAACCACAAAGAGCCACAAAGAGCCTGTTCCTGCTAAACACACAGCTGCCAACA